TTATTGTAGCAATATTCAAAAATCTTATATCCTAGGAGTTGATTTCTCATTGCAAATTATTTATTGAAGAGTGATTATCTTAATATGAATGTATGGATATTTAGAAAAATATTGATAAAATTTACTATTCAAACATATATTTTTGATAAATTTAATAATTCTACGAAAATTTTGCTCCACATTTGATTGGTAATTCATTTAATGAATGCTAAGGATTCAAAATGAATATTCATTTCTAAATCTAATTATTAAATTTATTGTAGCAATATTCAAAATCTTATATCCTAGAGTTGATTTCTCATTCAATTATTTATTGAGAGTGATATCTAATATGAATGTATGGATATATTAAGAAAAATATTGATAAAATTTACTATTCAAACATATTAACTTTTTTCTTAATAAATATATTTTTCCAGGAGAGAGGGAGTAGAACAAGTAATTCAAATATCTAGTTGTTGTATATATAATAAGTGTTATATATAAAATAAATATTATTTAATAATAAAAAGATTAATAAAAAATATTAATTAATTAATTAACTCATTCATAATTATTATTATTTTATTTATTTTGCATTAGTAAGTTACATTTTGGAAGAGTTACAATTTCCTTTTTTATTATTATTAATTTGGAGTTAACACGATATTCATCAAATTTGTAGAAATCCTTATGATCGAGTGACAAGGCCAATCAGACCACATTGGTTAGCATACCATTGATTTTTGCAGTGGAGTTGTATCTCTTCATTTCAATGGACATATTCTTTATTAAAAAAAAAAGGGTAATAAATTGTTGAGCAATTATATTATAAATACACAAATGCTACTTATATTTTAAATATGAGTTAAGTATTCTTCCTTTTAACAACTTTCAATATTTTAACCATATACGATCTTTTTGGCAAAATTAGTTACTTAGTGGTTACCCTTTTATAAAATATTATATTAACTTTCAAAAATTAATTTAAAAATTTTGTTACCAAACACTATAAAAGATAACGTTTACTACAAACTATTTAAAAAGTTATTGTTGAACAACCATTTTCTCATTTAGATTGAGTTCTTATGATAGAAGAAATTAAAAGTATAATTTTAATTTCTTATTTAGTCATTACATATTAGAGATGAAATTTCTATTAACTTCTTGCGACCAGTGGAAAAATTATTATCGCGGGGACAGTTTCCTAGAAATATCTAATCATAAATTCTTTTATTTATTTCTTAAAATTGTAAAACACCGATGACATCCTCCATGTCTAATTAGAATAGGAATAGGGTAAACATACAGAATATTTTTTTTCAAAATTAACATTTTAGCATTACTATTAACTTTTAATTTGAACTATTAGATATTTTAATTTATATAGTTTTAACTATTAAATATTTTAAGTTATAAAATCATTGTATTTAATATTTTAAATCATAAAATTAAATCGATTAAACGTTTATTACACGATTGAAAATATATAAAAAGTATAGTTGAAAATGTAACAGCATACAGTGGAGTATTCAAGTGGGAGCAGTTGACAAAGAAATTGGGGGAAGAATCCATCGAGTACAAAACAAAGCAGGTCGGGACGTGAAAGGAAATTCAAAGAAAAATGAACAGGACAAGTTGACCGACTAAGTACAATACAAGTCATTGCGTCAATATTAGCCTACTTTGTTTCTACTATATGGGCCTTAGACCCACTTTTTGTACTCTTCAATCACGAACCTCTTTTTGACTTTTTTTAATTCCTAATCATAAACTATGGAATTTATTGGAATTTATAATTTGACTTTTTATTGGCCAAACTATAAAAAAAAAATTTCCGATTATTTTAATTGTACCATGATGCAATTTTATTCTCCTAATATTTTGAATTTAAAATTTAATTATAATTAAATTCTAATTTAAAATTTAATCCATTTTATTTAATTTTTATTGGTCCCACACTCTCTTATAGTTGGCAATTAGTTAAATTTATACGCACCGTTTTGTTTTTAATTAAAAAAAAAATACAAATCTCCAAATCTCACTTCACCAACACCAGCTCACCTCACCTCACCACAAAACCTACAAATCCATCCAGGGGATCAATTCCGAGCATCTAACTATTTTTCTATCAAAATTCCCAAGAAACAAACATAATTACCAAAAGGTCATGGTTGCTCAAGCAATCGTTATCTGAAACTTTAACTCGTTTTTATCCACTTGATGCCAAAAGCAGTTCGTGAGTATGAAGTTCCTTCTGAATCTCTTGTGGCTTTTATTCAAGAATATATGTGGTGGATCTCCAGTGGCAGTTCGTGAAACCACCTTTACGTGTCGTGGCTTTACCATTGGTAGAGCAAGATAATTTTGTATTGCGATAACTATAATTTCAAACCGAATGGTTAATAAGGTCATTTTCATATAAAAATGTTTTTATGGTAGATAAATTGTTTTTTTTTTTTTTTCTATACTAAAAATATGGAAGGTCTATATTTTAATTAGTTGTTTATTTTTAAGATTCAATTAATTTAGTAAAATATTTGTTGATAAATATGTATATTAAATGAGAATAAAAAGTGAAATTTGTAATTCTTATTTTCTCCTGAAAAAGCAAATAAGATTGTAATTTAAAAAAAATGAAAAGCGAAATTGAATATATTATTATAGAAGTAGGTAAAAGTTGTATAGACACTTTAAAAGATTTGATGTACTTGTATCTTAATTATATTAAAAACCAAATCATTTTGAACACTTTTGAACACGTATTAAATATTTTCAATTCATTATAGATACTCATTGTTTAATTTACAAATTTTTGTTATTTATTAAGAATAATGTTTATCATTATTTTAGTTCTGTAAAAAAATGAATAATAATATTAATAAATTATAAAACTAGCCTCTTCCACATTTTATCTTCTATTTCTATAAAATTTGAATAAAAATGTTTAAAATTTAATAATTTATAGCATTTAACAAACTTCGGGCTCAGCCGTCTTACCTCGACCCGTAGAGCACACGGCATTTGGCCTTATGGTCGTGCGTTTGATCCGCACAGATGGAATGATATTTTATAAATTGTTAAAAACTAAATTGGATGAAGTGGTTAAAACTTAATTGATTTTTTATATTTAATTTTAAATAAAAAATTTTAATTAGTATAAACTTTTTCAATTTGGGATGTATTAAAATTTTTACTTTATTAATCTTATACTTATTTTTCACCCTCGAGGATAGGATGAGATGATAGGGATTTTTCTTCTCTTAACTAGAGATCTCGAATTCGACTCTGTGATCATTTCTCCTTTAATCATAGATCTCGAGTTTGAGCTCTGGGTATGAGTTTCTTTAAATATTCGGAAAGAAGCACTTTGCGCATTTTGTATGTCTGTCTGACGAATCCAAATTAGTCAAGCAAATGAGCTTCGAGTACTAAATGATTAAAAAAAAAAAAACTTATATTTATATTTTACACTATCAAAAATTTATTATTTTATTTTAATTATTTTTTGTTCTATTTTTTAGCCAAAGAGACTTAAATTCAAATAAGAAACTAATATAACTAATTAAATTAAATTACCTTCATTTAAATTTTTTAATTGACTATAATTATAATTTCTAATTAAGATAGATTGAACTTTCACAAAAGGACAATATACTATTAGTAAATTAATCTTATGCTATTAATGGGAAAAGCAAAATAGCACAATCAAATTAATATTAACAAAATCAAAACTTAATATTCCATTAAAAAAAAATATCATTGAGTTTGTTGGTTTAATACTAATTTGACAAGCAAATTTTAATATTAACACAAATAAAATTTAATATGTCATTCCCTTAAATTTTTTTTACTCACCTTAGCAATTTATTCAATGATTTTAAAAGCAATTTAAATATTTTTGTTATTAATTCTTTAATTTTCTCTTGAAATTTATAATTAAATTAATATTTCAGTTAATAAATATTTTTTATTTTTATTACCATATTAATTAGCTATCACAATTTATATTCAAATAAAGTTTTTTTCTTTTTTGACCAATAAAATTAAAAATTTTAAATATATTTTTTCAATATAAATTTCTAATAAGATTATTTTATTGATCCTAATGTTTTTCCTCCTCATTCCCATTTTTAATTTTTTTATAAATAAAATTATAAAAATAGATGATAATTAGATAAAAATATTTACTATAAAACCTTCCATATCTTATGCTATTTCCTAAGAATTTCGAATAAAAAATATTCATAATTTAAAATAATAAAATCAAGATTCATAACAATTTACAAATTTGAATTTTATTTAATTAGTTGTATCTATATTTAAATAAAAATTTTATTAGTATGGAGCTTTTCAAAGAGAAATTGTATTAAAATTTTCAATTTATTAAATTTATAATAATTTTGTATTAAAAATTCTTATTTTATTTTAAAAAATATGCTATTAGTTAGTGAAACCACCAAATTTCCTCGATAAACATTTTGACGTGGTTCATCCGCGTGTACAAAGAGCTGTACCCTTTACAATCAGAGCGTTTTAATATTAGGTCTCGATAAAAACCCGTAACACACAGTGATTCACATTATTCCAATACCAGAACACATACAAATAACTATAGATAACAAATAATTATCCAATAATTCATATTTTATTTCTAGCAATCCGACATTCCATCATATCAATAAATCAACATGTATTTAATGCATATATTAATATTTTAAATAAAAATATTAATTATTATCGTCGTGATATTAATAATAGAATTTCAAAATTTTAATTTAGATCTTAATGCAACTTTTCTACTATAATTTTTTTTTAAATGATTTAGAGCTTACAAATGGAAATTTATTAAACAGGAGTTTATTGTAAAGGTTGAAAAGGAGTTTAAAAAAAAAAATTGTTATTATAAATTTAAATCTTCATTTTAGGGTGATATTGTAATAAAATATCATAATTGAAATAAAATTGATTAAGGATCAAAACGGGATAAAATTGCAACAAAGGTCCAAATTGAAGGTTTAAATGCGTTAGCCCTCTTTTCCGCTCGCAAAGCAGCACTCCAGTCCTGTATCTACTACTACTGCAAAAGCCCATTTCTCCCAGTTCCTCTCTCTCTTTCTCGCTCGCGAAGCAGTCAGTCCGACATGAGCCGGTCAGGACAGCCACCAGATCTCAAGAAGTAAGTGCTGTTAATAATGTTAATATATTTAAATCTCCATTTTCTTAATTTTTCTTCTTTGCATTAATTGCTAATTCTTATAGTTTGTTCATGTTGTTGTATTTGGGATTTGCAGGTACATGGACAAGAAACTTCAAAGTAAGCTCCTCTCACTCTCCTTCAACGATTTGCTTTTGCCTTCTTTACTTACTACTCATTTGTAATTATTGTTTTCTAAATTGTTCTGTCGTCATTTTTTTTAGGGTTTCAAGTGAACTTTCTTATGTTTCGCAACTTTACAAATTATAAGTTCATGTCCTTGATTTTTTTTTTTTTTAAATTCTTTTTCTTTGCTTATAAATTGCAAACAATGTGTAAGAGCTTCAAATGTGGGTTAGTCCTAATTTGATGAAACAAATTCAATGAAACAACGGTGGGTTAGTCCTAATGTGAAGCAATGAGATTTTTGTTCCCAAGTCGTCTGTGAAAAGTGTGAAGAGTTTGGAATCTAGAAATTTGGAGTTCAATTAATTAATATTTCAGGCATGTCATGGAAACAAAGAATTCGTACAACCGACCATATCTAGTGTGGGATTAAGGCTTAGCTTTGCAGTTGATTTGGATGAATTGTTTGATTGGTTATTCTTGGCACAAATTAATAAGTTTTGAAGTGTGAATGTGATAATAATGTTAGCTCATTTGGCCTTGAGTTGGATTCTCTAGTGCTCTAAATCTGTTTCCAGTCTAGTTTGAGAGATCATACTGACGAAAAAAAAAAAATGGTCCTACCTTGTTATATTTTATTTTAATGCAGGATTTTTGTAGTGAACTTACCTGCGATTTTTATACGGCGATGGTGCTATTGGAACTGCTTTTAATTTAGAATTCATACCATATATTTATTGGCACATTAGGCTATTACAGTCTGCTGGGGGAAATTTGAATCTGTTCAACATGATAAATTCAAGATTCAGGGGCTGTTGCATGTTGGATGAATTGACTACTATGAAAGGTATACACAATGAATGGATGAATTATTTCTTTGATGGGAAAATCTCATATTTTGATTGAATGCAAATCAGATATGAAATGTACAAATAACTGCTTGAATAAAAAAGAGAAAGAAGATATTAATCTTTACTCTTGATTTCCTTGAGCAATTATGTCCTCAAGAAAGCTCCAAAGTTACTGGAAATTCTTTGAAGTAGATATTTGTTTAATTAAAAATAAGCATACTTTACTACTTGGACTGGGAGAAAGCCAAATAAACACTTAGACTTGTAAAGTAAAACCATATGCATTTAAGTCCATTCAATGGATTCTTTTGTAAGTCATGGAAAGTGGTTCTTCTGTCTTAATAATAAACCAGTCAGAATCTCTATTTCATTTTGAAACGTTTCAATTCCAACTTGTTCACAGTTTGTCATGATGTTTTCTACATGTGCTTCTTAGAATTGCTTGATCTTGTTTGAATGAGGGTTTTGTGTGAATCTTTTTTGGCCTCTCACAGTCTGGTGCTTTTGGTTCTTAATAGTGTTGCGTGATTATTTTGATACTTAACATTTTGTCAATTTGTTGCTTCCATGGCTTCCCTTATTTATAATTATCTTGCTTTGGGAAAGATGCAAGCAGATACTATAAGTTTGGAGTTGGTGATGCATGCATGTAGTCATGTGTTGCATAAATTGGCATTAGGATTGAGATTGTTGATTTACCGCTGTTATTCTCTTTAACAATTTATTTATGTGTTTACACAGTCAAGCTGAACGCAAACAGGATGGTGGTCGGAACGCTTCGTGGATTTGACCAGTTTATGAATTTGGTGGTTGACAACACTGTGGAGGTGAATGGTGATGAGAAAAATGACATAGGCATGGTGGTAAGTCTTTTTTGTTTTGTTATTCATTTTTTCAGGTCATAATTTGTTTGTTAAATAGTTAAATTGCCATGATTCTTATATTACTTGCGTTATTAATTGTAGTGTTTTATTGCTGTAGGTGATCAGAGGAAATAGCGTCGTCACTGTTGAAGCTCTGGAACCTGTAAACAAAACACAGTAATTATGGCTTCTTATTAGTACTAGCAATATAGCTTTGAGTCCTATATTTTGGCCAATATGGCTACTTCTAGTTGTTGGACATAGTTATTCTATATTTGCAGATTGAAGGAAGTATTTACCTATTACTTTATCAGTTCTCTTAGATTGCTAGAAATATATTGGCCTGCTATTTTATAAGTAGTTCTTCTGTAGATTTCTTTTCTAGCAAGCTTAGGCTGCTTTTGGATCTATGAGATAATGAGAATAGTAATGAACTAATTATATGCTTCCAGAACTCACTGTTGCTTGATATTTTGTGGATAAGGTGTGAATTTGTTCTCTCTCTCACACACACACACACACACACACTACGAATATGTCAAATTTATAGCGATGAGATCAGAAAATACTAATAAAAAGAACCTGGTGGGTAGGTAGCTGGTTTTGGTGTAACGATGAAAAACTATAGAACTGGACTGTACTTATCAGCAAGTATTAATCAAATCAGGTAAAAAGTTTGACACATTTTGCATATTTTAATATTGCCGTCAGCCACCACACCTTTGGCTTGGTGGACAGTCCGACAGATATGCTCTTGTGTCCTCCAAAGTTTAAAGAAATAAACAAGTTCGCTCATTTCCCATTTGGTGAATTGTTTTACTGAGTGGTTGTACTATCTTTATCATAGTTCGTAAGATATAGACCATTCTATTCAGTATTCATTTCAATTTGACCACAGCCATACCCTTTAATTATATATTTTTTTATTTCTAAATTTTATATTTATTTAGATTGAATAATTATGTTTTTTTTTTTGGTTAGTTAAATTTCCAATTAACAGTCTAATAGTTTCTTGTATATTGATATTATGATTTATTTCTACCATATAAATTTAATTGCTATAAAATCTTATTTTACTTATCTTTACTCAATCATATAAATTAAAATGGTTTGTGGGATTAGGAATATAGATTTTATAGAGTATATATAAAAAATATTTACTATTTCATTATTTATATTTGTTTCAAACTTATTTAAAATTCATCCTCACTGTCTGCACTTATGCTAAACTTGATTAATATTATTAATATATAATCAACCTATCAAAATCTATTTAGCTTTACTACATTAGTTACAAATTTGCTAAATAATATTTTTTTATAATTTCAATTAATAATATATATTGTCATAAAAATAATAATTATATAAAAAAATTAGATCAAGAAAAATTATATATCCAAATGTGAGATTTTTTTTAAAACAAAAATTAACTTTAACGTCTTAGATTTAAATCTCCTTTTGATGTCAAATTAAATAAATAAACAAAAACCTCAGTTTGCTTGTATTTCCCTTTCCCAAGAAGGATAAAAAACTACATATAAATTAAAAACAAAAATACCATTTTCTATGATAAAATAAAGGATTAAGTACGATTTTCCAAGTTCTCCTTTTTCGAGCACTAGAAAAGGCATTTTTTTTTTTTCTTTTGTTTTCTGGGGTTAGATTCTTAGAGACCAAACAGCCGCCCGCGAAATTGGGTTTGAATTTGAAACAGTGCCTTTGCTCTTTACAAGAAGAGTTTTACAACGGTATAATCCTGTTAAAGTTTCTTTTCCAGTATAGCATATATCAGCTTCAGCTTAGGTTCTGTCCTTTCACTTTTCTTGATCTTTACAATTTCCTTTTCTTTTTCCTTTTCTTTTTCAATTATTGGATTGATTTGAAAATCCCGTCAATAACTCGCTGCGGCTAAGACGTTATAGTCTTTTGTTTCACATTGAGGGCTATTTACTAATTCTTAAACTCATTCTTCGATCTCAAATATTTATTCTGCTGTTTAATGTGCAGAATATATGAAATATATTATAAATATTATAAATTTAATGATTTTCTTAAGATACGTGAAATTTCAAATGTGATAAATATTATGAAAAAAAAAAAACTTATCAATTGAATATTACTTAATCTTTCCTTTTAATTGATTGTTAATTAAAATGTTTGAAAGGTAAAATAAGAATAAAATTGATGGATTATATAATTAAATTTTGAAAATATCAAATCCAGACTAATATATTACAGCATATATCAAGAAAATAAATAGTAATTTACTTTTATAAATATTTTTGTATACTATATAATTAGTATATACATTGATCAGAAATAATAACAACATATCATTAGCAATTAACAATAAATAAATAGTAGAGATAAAAGGGTATGTTCGATAAAATTAGTTGTTTTTATAACTGTTAACTGTTTTAATAGTGTTTAGCTGTTACTTGTTTAATAAAATGCTAAAAGTTAAATCTTACATAAGTTAACTTTTTATAAAACGCTACCTTAATCTCTAAAAGCTAGTTCAAACGCTATGTTACTGAATACTGTAAACAATAGTGTTTAACATTTTCATCAATTAAAATACTAAAAGTTACTTAAAAAACTGTTGCTGAACACAGTTAAGATATAAAAATTATAGAATTAAATACCTCTAAAAAAAAAAAAAAAAAACTAAAAAATTATAGAAGTTATACCTCTAAAAAAAAAAAAAAAAAAAAAAAAAAAAAAAAAAACCTCATGTTTGGAAGTGGCACATGTGTTGGGTGAGATTAAGGTTAGGAATTATGATGGCTACATATATTCTTTGTTATTGTGTACTTATATTTGCTTAAAAGACACTTTCACTTTTTGCCTTTGGCATGTACTTTTCTCCAATTATATATTTCTTGCTCTTCATTATTTTTAGTAGACTATCTTACTATGATCTATAAGTTTTCACACTAATAATTATTGAATGGGTTACTATGCATCATGATGTAGAATATGTACTTACTATCATTAATTAAGCATATGATTTAACTATGCAGAGATACTACTCACTATCTTTCTTTTTTGTGATTTAAGATTTTTTAGAGTAATTAAATAAGTAATTAAATCATTTAAATTATAGCAAAATATTCATTAATTTCATTAAATTACTCTTTATCTTATTTAATTACTTTAATCTCATTAATTTTCTCTCCGTTAATTTACCACTAAAATTAAGGCTACGTTTGTTTTTATAAAATAACTTGCAGAAAAATATTTTTTTTATAATTTTCCGTTATTTGGAGCGGCGTTTAGGAAAATAAGTAAACGAAAAATATTTTCCTGATCAAAAGGAAAACTAATTATAGAAATGGATTTAGAAAATTAATTATTATGTTAATAGAGATTGGAGTAAAATTGGAAAAGATTAAAAAATACTCCTTAATATTCTCAAAGTGATAAATAATTTAAAAAAAAAATAACTTCTAAAAAATGACAGGTGAAAGCAAAAAAGTTTTACATTATAATCATGATTAACTCTTTCAAGTGTTCATAATTTACCTTAAAAATACATAATTATCTAATACTTAATGATTCAAACAAGTGAAAACATAATTAAATAGTGAAAAGAAATGAGATGAGGCAAGTAGTGGATGATTCAAACAAGTAGGTATGCAAAAGTTAATAATATAAACTATCATTAAATGCAATTTAAAAAAACAGATTTTGTTTTAGAAAAAAAAAAGTCAAGCGACTTATTAATTATTTATTTGAACTTAATTCAATTTTATCTTGATTCATTTATAATTTCTAATTAAGAAAAATTTGTAACTAATTTACATTTTAATATATTACTATCAAGTTAATTTTTGAATTCGCTAATAAATATCATTATTGAATTGGTTTGAGAATATTACACGATTTATATTAAACTCCGATATTGAATTATTGAACTTATCAAACTAATTTAAATAATTTTTTTAATTGAATATTGATTTTTTAAAAAAAAAATTGAATATTGAAAAATTAAAGCGGGTTTATTCATTTACCGTGTAGATCTTATTCTTCAATTTCTTCACTATTTATATAATATACAAAAAGAGAATAATTTTCCTTATATGGAAGCCAAGTGTAAATAGCACAATTTATCATTTGGCAATATTTTTTTGATTATAGAATGACAAATGTTAGAAATCTAAAGTCAGAATTCTAAATTAAGTTGTTGGATTGATTTTTTTTAAAAAAAATTAAGTTTATTGATAACTGAACCGATCAATGTGCAGTCTAGAGCTAACCTTTTTCCATTTCAATTTATTTATTGCAATTTTCATTAAAATTTCTCTCTTTAATAGGAAATAATTCTAGAGTATGGCAAAGACGAATGACTTGCCAAGATTATCGAAATATATTTTTAGTTATAACAAGAGTATTTTTAATCATTCATTAATAAAAAAAAAGACAAAAAACAAATTTAAAAAAAACACTTGATTTTTTCTTGGTAATAAAAAAAACTTTGTTGATTAGCTTATTGTATGAAGTAGTCTCATATACCACGAGTTAAGTGCATGGACATTAGGAATGAGATATGAGAACGTAAAGAATACGACAATCTTTTAAAAAAAAAAAAAAAGAATACGACAATCTTTTAAAAAAAAAAAAATATTCTACAACGGTTAGGACATATTACACTAAATAATTAATCATACATTAATATTCAAATAAATTACAATTAATTTCTAATAAATCACAATCTTTTAAAAAAAAAAAAAAATATCTACACGGTTAGGACATATTACACTAAATAATTATAATACATTAATATTTCAAATAAATAAACAATTATTTCTAATAAATCATAAACATAAAATAAAAAAATACTTATTTTTTATTTCAATATAATTAGTTAAATTATCAAAATTATTATTATTACTGAAAAATACATTAGTAGTAGTCATATCATGCATAACTTTTATTATTGCATACTTTGGTAAAAAGATTCACATGATACTTAAGGAGACACATTTTAGTATTGTAACTTCTTTCGCATATCTCAATGAGATATAATTTTGTAATGCATTTCACAATAATTTTATTATATAATTTTATTATCTTTAAATGATATTATAAAAAATTATTTTATTCTTTAATAATGTTCCGCGCGCATCGTGCGAATTCTAACCCTAGTTTCAATAATAATAATAAGAATAATAATAATAATAATAATAATAAAAGTAAACTACCAGATGAGAGAGAGAGAGAGAGAGAGAAATGTCGTAGAACCATAGGATGTTACTTGTTAGGTAGCTGGTGGGACCAAAATGCTGACATAATTAGCGTATAATACTAAGAGTTTAGTAATTAATATTAATAGTTGAATTAGGCTTAAGCCTAAGACTATGTGGTCCTATTTTTTAATTTCACTTGAGTCTCACAACTGTCAGAACCAGTTGGCTTTGCGTAGGACAAGCTTTCTTTATAGAGATGACCTCCTCAGGATACCTGTCATTCCCTTGTTTGTATTATTTATTTATTTAAGTAAGATTGGGTTCCCTTGGAATTTGAATTTATTCTATCCAATAATCAATTAATATTTCCAGAGATGCAAAGAATCAAACTGCATATTCCTTTTGATTTCCCTTCCACTTGCAAAAATTTAGGCAAGTAAGACACAAAAAGAATGGGTAACATCTAAATTTCTGTCTAATCATATATTATAAGTAAAGAATAAGAAATCCAAAAATACCATATTCGATATGGTGTTTTTAGTCATTAATTATTTAAATACAGTTAATCTCCGTACGTCTTATTTATAAAAGATGTAGAGAGTAAGATATTTTAAGTATGAGATCTATCTACCATAAATGTTATAATAATCAGTTTAACAAACGTTATAATTAATTTAGGGAATTTTATTCGAAGGGATAAATTTCTTTCTGCTGTAGTCCAACATGTTTCCTTCTGCTGTAGTTCAACATGTTCTCCTGATTCATTAGGCATAGGATAGGATGTATATATAAGAAAAAAAAAATCACTCTCACCTAATATTATAACATTTGTACTGTCTAGTCTTCAAAGAATTGATAGAATAATTTTTTACAGGTTTTTCCATCCCTTGTCCTAAATCATTTTTATTTGGCACAATTAGATTTTCTTTAATCATGTTCATGTCTAGTAAATTATCTTTGAAAATGGTGTGTGTATATAAAAAATCATACCATTTTATTTCAAGTGTCACTTTAATTCTTTTCTACTTTATGTCATTTTAAAAAATTACAAAAATTAAAAAATATTAATCATTTTTTTAATTTTATTATTTTCTCTTGATATATTCACTAAGAATATATTAATTATGCATAATATTGATAAAAAGGTCATTTAATTAATTATAACTTTTTTCAGAATTTTATTTTATAATTTTCTTAATTTTATTATCTTAAAATATAAGAAAAATACGGATTATATTAGTAAATAAATAATTACATGATATCCCTCACTGTCGATAAAAGAAATACTCTCTCTATTTTAAATTATAGTTTCAAATATTTTTCCATAAAATTTATTTTTAACTATAAAATTTTTTTTCTTATTTTTCTATATATTCTCTTAAAAATCCTAAAAACTGTATATTAACAATTCCTTGAAACTTCAAAATAGGATGAAAAGTTAGTATATCAAGATCAAAATTAATTATTTTAAGATTTTTCTCCACTAATTAATAAATTCAACTAGTATTGGTTATTTACATGAATTATTATATAAGGGTATTGTGAAAAAATAAAAAATATATATTTTTAAAAATATAAATGAGACTATTATTTTAAAACACTAAAAAAGAAAAATAAGATCATAATTTTGAGAGGAAAGTAGTAAAAATTTATTTTAATGAAAAAAATTACTTTATCTAATATATATTGAAAGGAAAAAAAATTTTTAGTTCAAAAAAAATTAATCACTAATAATTTATATATCCACAACAATATGTAGTCAATTTTAGTTGTACTTGGCCATAATATAAAAATTTAATTAGGACTACATAATTGAAAAAATAAATTTTATTTTTTTTAAATAAAAAATGGAAAAAAAATTATTTAGATTTGAAGTTATGATATCTTCCATTATAAAATAAAATTTGGTCCAACTACTTATTATAACATTTTGCACATTGGGGTAAACCAAATTAAAAAAAACCTTAAATGAATAAATTAAGGGTTAGAATCTTAAAGGAGATTAATCATATATTGTTATGAAATTCGTGGATAACTTAAAAAAGGAAAATTAAAAGTTAAAAGGATTGTTTCTACCTCTGTGAAAAGTCCAACACACCCCTATTGTGATGTGGCAAATATTTAGAGAGATGAACAAGTGAACAGAAACATCTTCGGATTGCTTATACAAGATAAAAGAAACGGAAGTATAATATAAAGAGCTGGCCTACTCTCTCTCTCTCTCTCTCTCTCCTTCCATGCCTGTTAGGCTATTACCTTAGTTATACTTCTTCTCTCTTTCTCTCTCTAAAACATGCCAAGTTCTGTACTTTGTCTCTCTTTCTTTCCTGTTTGCTTCTTGAAGCCTCATATCTAAGCCAGCCAAGATAAGAGAGAAAGAAAACAAAAAAGAAAGAAAATCAAAAGTGATGATAGACACGTCTTACCACACCCACAAAACCATTCCTTCAATCCAACTCTACATGCCCACATTCACAAATCTTGACCTTCTCTTAGAAAACCCAATAAAATAAAAATCAAGAAAACAAATTAAGTAATACCCAAATAAGACCATTTCTTGTTTTCAATTCTTTGACACTAAAATTGAAAAAGAAATTTGTCTTTCTTTAATTTCCCCTAAAACTAACAATGACTGAAGTACTTCAATCATCCCCATCTCACTTCCCTTCTTCTTCAAGCTCTTCTTCCACCCCATGTGTCAACAATGATATTTCTCACCAACAACTCTCACATAGCCCCACTAGACCCCAAGAAATAGACGAAGAAGAAGTATTACAAGAAGAGGAACAGGAGGATAGGTCCATAGACAGGAAAGAAAGGGAGAGGGAAGGGGATCAGTTGTCAATTCTTGAACTTTTGGTTGCTGCTTTTAGGAGGTCCGTTGTTGGGTGTAGTATTACTGCTACTGCTGGGAGTAAGGAGCTTTGCAATATGGAGATTGGGTTGCCCACTAATGTTAGACATGTTGCCCATGTTACTTTTGATAGGTTTAATGGGTTTCTTGGCTTGCCTGTTGAGTTTGAGCCTGAGGTTCCTAGGAGAGCTCCTAGTGCCAGGTCAGTTTCGAAAGTGAACTTGGTTTAATTTTTCTTTTTGGGACGTTTTGAGAATTATAATTTCATTTTTCGCTTGAATTGAGTACTCTTTGAATGTTTCTTGAGACCCTATTTATAGGTTTGGCTCTTTCTTGAAGTACTTTGTTTGACTTTTCTGTCTCTGTTGAATTCATGAATTGTTTGGGTCACTCTTAATTTTCACTTTTTGTCCTCTTAATTGTAATACATTTTCTTGCTTTGTCATCGTCCGAAATATTTCTTTTACTTCAACGTCCTATGTGCCTGCATCATGAGTCATCCGTTTGGGTAGAATGTGAATATTTTCTTTTTAACTTTTGCCAACTTACATGCTGTTCTTCAGGTTACTTATTGAATTTGTAATTGTAGTTGCACCATCCTTTCCCACTTTCCCCAAAAAATTGTAATTCAAATTTTAATTTGTAGTTGCACCAAACTTTCCCACTATAAAATTCTGAAGTCTTAATTGTTTTTAATGTTTTGCAATGAATATTATTTGCTCTGATGATTGAAAAACAAAAAGAAATTTTGTAAGGCTTTTAGGAACTAGAACTTTATGGAAGAGTCACCCAACTCAGAGATCAGTACTTAATTTTTCAGTGTGGTTTTCTTCATTTATGATTTTTTGGAGATCCAACAATTATAGTTGCTTCAGATCTTCCTTCATCTTCATAGTATGTTAGAGGAAAATTGACTGTATTACCTGCATCTATAGTATGTCTTGTTTTATGGTTGCCTTCTCTTTGTTAATTTGATGAGTGCACTGCTGGATATTGAATCTTAAGTTGTAATTGGATTAGCACGAGTGGTTTATGCCAATTAGTTAAATTGGTAAATTCTGTTGGAAACCATAATTGAAACCTTAGGTTAAGTCATCTTTGGAGTTTGAATGTTGTTTTTCCTTGTGAGTTGTAAACTTCTTGCAACTATTTGACATTGCATAGCTACTTCTTCCCCATATTTAGGTGGGCTCGTAAAGAATTTCTCAATTTGTTCTATCTGAAAAATCCACTCACTGTATTGAGCCATTCTCGCTTATTGAGTCACTTATTGATGTTTAATGGCTGTGATATATACAGCTTATTTCATTTAGAATGGGCAAATTAGGTAGCTTTGGCATTTTATGATGATAAATTACTGCAGCTATATCTAGACCAACACCCGTGCCTCCTACATACAGTAAAGTTATTTAGGTTGCTCTAAAAGAGAGTGTTTTGTTATGGTCCATGTGCTTCTTCGTTATGATTCATTTTGATTCCATTTTCTTAGCAAATGTCACAAGTAACTTATAATTATGTATGTGCAGTATATCATTTGATGATATCTACTCGACTTATTTCTCTGTCCAAAGTATTCTGGATATATATACTCTTCTGTCTTTTCCCCTGTTAAAGTCCCTAAGCTAATATCTTATTGTTGACTAATTATCTACAGTGCAACTGTTTTTGGAGTTTCAACTGAGTCCATGCAGCTTTCATATGACTCCAGAGGGAATAGTGTGCCCACGATACTCTTGATGATGCAAAGGCAACTGTATGCCCAAGGAGGTTTGCAGGTATGTGTTCTTTCCTTCTGTCTCATTTATATACCAGCTGAATTGAGTAGAGCAAGCGACATCCTAGGCCAACCATGCAACACCATTCATTTGGGGTAGAAGCTTATCTTTTGTGCACAGTTTTGTTGTTTGTAGGTTATAAGAAAACTAGTTGGCAAATTTATTCGATAAAGAGGAAGAGAGATCTGATAATATTGGTCTTCGAATTGCATAAGTATCAAAATTCAACGAGAACTGAAGTTTTGAATTTGATTGAACAGGCAGAGGGAATTTTCAGAATTAATGCCGAGAACAGCCAAGAGGAGTATGTTAGGGAACAGCTAAATAGGGGAGTGATTCCACAGGGCATTGATGTGCATTGCTTGGCTGGGCTCATAAAGGTATTATACAGCCTTTTGCATTATATGTCGATAACTCTCCATTGTTGACATGAAAAATTTTCAAATTTACATTATTTTTCCACATTTGTAAATTTTGTAGGCTTGGTTTAGGGAACTCCCAACTGGTGTCTTGGACTCTCTTTCACAAGAGCAGGTAATGCAATCTCAGTCCGAGGAAGAATGTGTTCAGCTTGCAAGGCTCCTTCCTCCAACGGAAGCTGCTCTATTGGATTGGGCAGTAAACCTAATGGCTGATGTTGCACAACTAGAGCATCTGAACAAGATGAATGCACGGAATGTTGCTATGGTTTTTGCACCAAACATGACCCAAGTGAGTAAAATGGTGTATATTTCTCATATTTTTGTGTAAATGACCTATACCATGCGTTGCATAGTGATTATAATTGCTATTCTTAACAACCCTACTTAAACTCTTTTCGAATTGGCTACATACACATTCATCATGTTTTTGAAGGGTGGTTATGCATTTATCACTTTACAAAAAGGATTTGTTCACAAGGGATAAGAGGGGCTGATGCTTAGTTGAAGAAATTTTCATCATTTGGTCCTAAGCAAAATGTTAATATTGGAATATATATTAGAATGCCAAATTTTTTCGAACCCATTATCAGATCACTAAAATACATATATGACCTGCTGATCAAAATATGTTGCAATGATGCCCTTTTAACACTTTCTATTGCAGATGTCAGATCCATTAACTGCATTGATGTATGCTGTCCAAGTAATGAACTTTCTCAAGACTCTTATTGTAAGAACACTTCGGGAGAGAGAAGAATCTGTGATAGAACCAGCTCCTGTGTCCCGTCTCGAGCCTTCTGATGAGAGTGGACACCACAGCTCTTCTCAATCAACTTTTCTCGAGGCCAATGAGGAGTTCACCGAGGAAATTGAAGACGAGAAAGTATTTGTTTCTGAAGAACCTACTGTAGGGAGCCCTCCTCAGTCTAGTCAAGATGATTCAACTACCAAATGTCAAAAATTCCTGAATTCTATTGAGAACATTCCTGGAGTAAATCGGTCTCTGGTCGATAATTGTCCTTGTGAAGTTGTGAACACACTAACAAATGAAAACTTAGAGGGTGGCTTTTCAAGTAAGAGAGGCGTCCTAGTAAAAACTGCCAGGAACAGAACTGGTCAATCAAGTAACTCAATTCTCAAGAAGGGGTCCAAAAGGTTGACTGAGCAGGTCATGGTTGGAGCAGCAGGAACTGTAGAGAAGACCAAAGGAACAAGTATAGTAGGCTGTATAAATCCTAGGACAGAGCTGTTTGAAGCTTGGCGGTGAACAGTGCCAATGCTGCCAGCTGTGGGGGATTTGCCAACTGATGAAACAAGTTGGCACATTCTGAGTGTGGGTTTCCTTTAGAAATGTTGTGTATGATTTTCTGTGTGCTTTTTTTTCCTTTTCATATATGTTTATCGGTGTTCATTAACATGTGGGTCTTCATGTTTAATCTTTCTTTCTTAACCTGTTGTAACACCTCCTTAGTATAGCATCTAATGAATTGAAATTCATTGTTTCTCTTTCTTCAGAGCATTAACAAGATTCCAACTTTGAATTGCTGTAGTTCAGTAACAGGATAATATTTTAATCCAAACGGCTCCATTCACAGTTATGTTTATAAGATGGGATTAACCAGGAAGAAATAATCTAACGAAATGGCTTTAACTCCTTCCCTAAACGATAAAAGGATAAGGAATATAGGCAGAAATGTAACTGTTAAACGAATTTTTTTCTTCAATTCAATATGTTAACAACAGTCCAGGATCCAGCTTTGTTTTCAAGTTCAAAGATGGATGAGGAAAATAGGCATAAATTTCAGTTCAAAGAAGGCCTGGGCTTAGAAAAATAAGCCCAAACCAAAAATATGTAAACTATAAATTAAAAGGGCTTCTTCTTCCGCATCCATAATCTTATTGGTTTCACCGTCGAAAACGCCCTTTCTGCTCAACCTCCATCAACGGTGCTCTCTCTTTCTCTAAGATTTTAGTGCGTATTCTTATTAATTTTTTGTTTAATGTTTTAGGGGAATGATATAGTTCAGAGCCATTTCCAGGGAATTACATGTTTTCATTTCTGCTTAGAGCAAATTTCCTTATGAAAATGATCTCCTGCACTCAAAGGAACTTCTATGTAGCTTCATCCATTCTACCTCCATTGCAGCTTCCATCTCCAATGTATGTAATCCAGTATTTTGATGTATTCTTGTCTGATGGGAATTTAAGACTTAAAAATTTGAGCTAAATGATTGAGATTGGTTTTGAAGGGAAACTCATTTTTGGTATGTTATTCCTGATCAAGTCAAGAGTGTGTCACTTCTAAATCAATATATGGAAATTCTATCTTCTGTTGAGAGAGAAAATGTTCTATCCATGCCTGGAGACCACCTTCAAAAAAGGGCACTCCTGGCTCGTACCCTGGTTCGAACTACCATTGCCAGATGTAGGTCTTTTTTTTTTTTTTTCCTTTCTTTCTTTCGGTGCTGTTGTCTGGTTTATCCTTTTTTTTTTTTTTTCTGTATGCTTGTGTTTTGCCCAAATGTTGCATAGAGGTCAAGACCCAATTAATTCAATTTGGTTATTGTTACTTGTTTATGCCAAATTAGATGTTTTCAATTCAGCTATTTTAGTTGAATTCTTTCATTAATTCTTTTCCCTTAGAGAAAAGCTATTGTCTATTAAATGTTTTAAGAATTTCCAAGTTTCTGAGCAAAACTTTTTACTACTAGATCAGATAAATTGCCATGTTGATCCAAGATCTTTGAAATTCAGGAGTAATATCCATGGGAAGCCTGAGGTTTGTTTGTTTTTCTCCTTTGCTTGTCTACCAGATGAGAATTATTTTCTTCTGGAATATGTTTTTTTTTTTCCCTCCATTCATCTTTCTTAAGACGTATTTTTATTTCCTCTACAACTTCAATGTTTTTTCATAGCTTAGTTAGAGTGGCAAAGGGACAGTGGCCCATGCCCACCACCATTACATTTCAACATTTCACATACATCTTCTTTGATAGCTTGCGGAGTGACAACTAATTCACAAGTATGTATGACTAATTTACAGAATATTTTTCGGTTGATATAATATATATATATATATATAATCTGTTTTAATTTTCAATTGTAGATTGGTATCGATATTGAAGAGAAGCAACGGAATATTAAAAGCAATATATTAGCTTTTGCACGGCGCTACTTTTCTCTCCATGAGGTGGAATATTTAAGTGCTATTTCAGACTCTGAAGTGCAGCGCCAGGAGTTCATAAAATTATGGACTCTTAAGGTGAGCATGATGCTGAAATTTTTATTTCTTACTAATTTTTGGATCATTGTTCTGGGGGAAATGCTAGAATATGTCCTTGAATAGTTACAGACAGCCCCTTGCAATGTTATAAGAAAATCAAGCTCATTCTTGATGCTCAACAGAATTGGAATTGAAAAAATGCATTTGGGAATTTCTTCTTTTGAGTGAATGATGCAGTCCTTTTTGTAGATTGATTTTCCATTTTGACAGATTGCATATATGAAAGGGTACATTTTTCTAGTGTGTTTTTTAGAATGTATATTTAAAATTTCAATCTTTGATTACCTTCCAAGCTGTCCTTCATGTCTTTTTACTTATGAATATCACTTGTAGGAGGCTTATGTGAAAGCTTTGGGAAAAGGCTTCTCTGCTGCACCTTTTAGGACATTTACTGTTCACATAAAGACTGCTACTAAGGGAGGCAGTATTCTTGCTGATGATGTAGATCATGAGGTACGCCATAAAGATGTAGATTAAGAAAGTATTTCTGGACCCTTGATGACTATGCAAGCAGATGTTAACGTTAGAAAAAGATGCAGCAAAGTTAAATATGTTTTATTAGGGGCCTAATGCATAAGTTTGGCCCTGTACCGTCGATGATCATCCTTGTGTCCTTCTGAACTTTGCCGCGAACCCATCATGACTCTGCACTTTCATATTTCAGTAATAATTATGTCTCTCACCAAAATAAAATGTGAAAGTGTAGGATCATGATTGAGTCCTTGCAAAGTTATTTTATTTTTGCAAGGGGCATGATTATTACTGAAATATGAAAGTGCAGGGTTATAATTGAACTCTTGCAAGGTTCAAGGGACCACAAGGAAAATTGGCTAAAATTCAGGTCAAATTTATGTTTTTGGCCTTTTATTAGGTAATTTAGCTTTCATGCAGCAATGGGCAAAGGTAGATAGTGCTTGGGAGTGGCAAGTGGTAACTTAAAAGAAATACAAGAATTAGTATCAAGAACAGAATAGCACCTTGAAGTTAACAATAATTATTATTTTCCTAAACGTACTCCTGCTAAGTACTAACAAGAATAATAACAAGAACAACAGAATGTATGGGGTAATCTACCTTGAATTGGATACCGTCCTTTTTCTTTTAAAACACTTAGTTTGTTCATTTGAACAAATTAGTATGGCACATACTCAACCTTAGACAACTACTTCAGCCTCATGTTCAATAGATCGAATAGTTTCGAATAGTTTAGCTTGTGCATCATAGCGACACATCATTATTGGCATTTTCTCTTAACCATAGATTTTTTCCTTTTTCTTTAACCTAGCCGCTGTTCTTAAGATTTCTTAACTGGCAATTTCTCTTAACCATAGATAATTGTCGAGTCTTTTGATGATCCCAAGAACCACACAAGCAGTTGGCAGTTGGCTCTCTTGGAACTGGATGCTTCTCATTATGCTGCCATTTGCATGGAAATAGATAAAGGCAGGGAAGTTGGGATGAAAGTTCCAATCAGATTGTCTGCGTGGAAAACCATTCCCTTGGTTGAAGACAGGCGCGTTTCTGGAACTGAAGTTGTTGTGCCCATTGGAGGCTTAATCAAACACTGATTGTAATTTGTCATTTTTCATTAACTTTTTGCCTCAATATGTAAATTGTGGTTATGTTAGATTATACACTTCCAAAGGTGAATGGTATTATTAATTGAATTATTTATGGATTTGTTCAGCAAAATTAATTGTTTTGATAGTTATTAGATGTTTTAGTAGCGTTTAGCTATCAATTATTTAAGTAAATTTTCATAAAAAAGTTAAACGTTACATGTGTTGACTTTTTATAAAATGCATATAAATTAACTTTTTATAAAATGTGTTATGTTAGCGAAAACTATAAAAAAATAAAGTATAGCTACTGAAAAAGTTTGTCAAAACAAAACACAACTTATATCCTGTTACATCTGATTTTTATGGTTTTATTGGCAGTTAATTTGACTCGTTGGTTGCTTATTCTACATTTCTGTGGAAACAAATCATGACTTTTCCCCAAGTTGGCTAGAGATTGTAGAACATGTAATATCTGAGAAAAAAAAAAAGAACACGAGTATTACCAATAGTCTTTGCAAGAACATAATCCATTCCTGAAATGGTGAAAGCGGGTTGCATCCCTAACTATAAATTGATGATCCACAATTTTGCTAACTAACTTTATAAACAAGTGACAATCTCCACATATCCTAAGATTTTTTATCACAACAATATCTGATCCTTCTCTGGTGTTCAAGATACCAAGTGTAATTGCCAACTTCTCACTATGCACATTCCTACCATTTAGAAGTTGTTCACCATCCTCCTTAAACCCATCAAATTTCTTCACCAAAATTTCTAACTGCTCCAACTTTTTGTATATTTCATCACTTTGAGGATGATTTCTATCTCCGGCAAAGAATAGGTGAACTCTCCCGTTAAATTCAACATAACTGCAACCTGGTTCCTTTTTCAGCTTCCTCTTCCTCATCATCACTCTGACTCTCAACATCCCTTCCAAATTCCCAGCTTGAGCATATATATTTGATAACAAAACATAGTAACCGATATTTGTAGGTTCAAGCTCAATTATCCGTTCAAAAGCCAACTCTGCTAACTCTAGGTTCTTATGTATTTTGCAGGCACCTAAAAGTGCTCCCCAAACTGCACCATCAGGTTTTACTTGCATAGATTCAATAAGTTCTCGTGCGTCATTGAGCTTACCTGCTCGGCCTAAAAGATCAACCATGCAAGAGTAATGCTCCGGACCAGGCTGCAACTGATACTCTCTATGCATCATGCGAAAGTAATACAACCCCTCATTGGTTAATCCTGCATGACTACATGCACAAAGAACACTCAAAAATGCTGCTCTGTCAGGTCTAATGCCAGACCTAATCATGTCATCGAAAAGCTCAGTAGCAATCTCTCCTAGACCATGATTTCCATATCCGCCTATCATTGCTGTATATGAAACTACGCTTTTCACTGGCATACGATCAAAAATGTCTCTAGCTTTTACTAAATTACCACACCTAGCATACATGTTAAGTAAAGCATTGTTCAGTAAAGGATTAGACCCAAATCCACAAATCTTTATTTGCTGTTCTATTTCACAACCAACACTAAGTGCACCAAGATGAGCGCAAGATGACAGAACCCCAACGAGTGTTATAGGGTCAGGAGAAAACCCAATTGATTTCATCTCTTTATAAAGTTCCAAAACATTATTAGCAAGCCCATTTTGTGCATACCCATTAATCATTGCATTCCAAGTAATCAACTCCTTTTCTGGTATTTCATTGAAGATCTTTCTCCCGGAATTAATTTCACCACATTTCACATACATCGTAAGTAAGCAATTCCCAACAGACAGATCCACATCAAATCCAAACTTTGCGCAACAAGCATGAACTGACATTCCCAGCTCCATTTTCCCTGGAATCCCGCATATCGGAATTAAACCCAACATTGTTACCCTGTTAATCTCCATACCCATTTCTCTCATTTCGTTGAATAACGACACTGTATCTTTAAGTCTAAGGTTAAATGAATATCCGGATATCAAAGCATTATAACAAACCATTAGCGTACTTGATTGGGGATTTTCATCGAACACTTTGCGTGCATTGTCTATTAAGAAACATTTACCGTACATAGAAATCAGTGAAGTCTGAACAAAGGGTTCTAGTAAACAACCCGTTTTGATGACATGGCCATGGATTTGTTTCCCGGTAACTGGAAGAGAAAGAGCCGCGCAGGATTTGAGCGCAAATGGAAAAGCAAAGGCATCAGGAAAAGAGCCAGATCGGAGCATTTCAAGGTAGGCAAAGAGCGATTTGTTCCATGACGTATTGGCAGGAGTGGAAGTTGAGTTGGTGGACGATTGAAGGAGATGGTGGTACAGTTTGGTCTTTACGGCCATAAGGTGGCATGACACGAACTTATATTTAGCGCGCACAAGCATGGCTTAACTTTACTTCTCCGTTCCGCTCAAAAGTCAAACCGTTGCCTTTACGCCCTTTAGCTTCTTCGCACATTAAAGTTTATCTTAATTCCATAAATTTTCATTTCCAATTACCACAATACTCTTTTACTAATTGGATGTGATATCAAGAGAGAATTATAATAGGCTTCGAAAAATAAGACTGAAAAAAAAAATATAATAAATTCTAAAAATAATACTTAAAGTGGAAAAAAAAAAATTTAAAAGCTGATAATTTTAAATGAAACGGAAGAAGTAATTATTTTGATACAAAGAAATACAAAGAAATAAAAGAAACTGACTCCAATAGGTAACATTATGGAGAAGCTATGGAACCACACCATCCAGAGGATGTCAAAATATAAAAACCCATTATTTCAAAAATAGCAAAACCGGCGAGCCAATTCCCAGAGAAATTAGCATCTTAAACTTGAATATTCAATCTAAGCTAAAGAACTGATGGACGGACGAAGCTAGAGATCAAACAGAAGCCAGACGATCTAATATGCCATTAACCTTTTTTCTTTTTTTTTTTTTTGAAAGAAGGGATTCAACGGATCCATCTTTCAACTTGAAGTGGTTCTTGATGCAAAGAAAAATTATCAACCATGATAAGCAAAAACTAGTGAGAGAAAACTTTGAAAAATAAAACATCATCTTCTTCAAGAAAATGAGATGGACATAGAACAGTAGCAATTAAAACCAGTGAGAGAAAAACTTTGAAAAATATCCTAACGCCGTTCACTTATATCAGACACATAATTAGCTACATCCTCATCAAGCACATGCTCCAGAACAATACGAGGAGATAAGTTCTGTAAATTTAAACCCGGAACCAAGAATCTTTCCAAAAACGAATGGTAAGAACATTTCTAATAGATCACGTAAGTCCTTCCAGAACAAGAAAAAAAAAAAAAAATAGAACTTTGAATATGTCTCCAGAGTGAAGAGACATCATTGCGATTTCCTACAGGGGTATAAGCTTATTACCAAGTTGATATTTGGAACGAAAAACCTGAAGGCAGAGAGAGCTTGCTGAAATACATTAATTAGAATCAAAATTCTTAATACTCAAAGTACAGGACATTCTTGAAACAGGGATGATATAGATTATAACAAAAACATCACATCTAGGCAATTAATTGTTAAGAAGATGGGAATGTGTACCTTAAAAATTTGTACAATGTGCAATGCCAATAAGCCAAAAAATTGTTGATATAATATATTAGGACTTAAAAATAAACACGTTTCATTTCATTATTACAACAAACATTTTAAGTTGACAAAAGTTGGGATCTTTGTCTGTCTTTACTACTTCCACGATAGTAAATATGAATATCTACTCTTCTCAAAAAAATAAAATAAAAATGAATATCTACAACCATAACTGTCTTTTTAATGAATATATAAAAGAAAAAAAAAAAAAAAGAGGAAAGGAAACTAAAGATTAGACATTTGGACGTAGTAACGCCATCCAATAAGAAGCCATATTAAGGCTCATTGCTGTCTCAATTTTCTGGTTATGGCAAATGCTGCACCGGCCACCGCAATAATGACGGCTGAAACTAAGATGGTAGTTTTGAGTCTTTGCATGGGATCCCTTATTTTCCTCTCCTCCTTTTTGTCTGCAGTCACTTCTTCTTCCTGCAAAAGCAAATTAAGTTATCACACTATTAACGAGAAAACTGAAAATAATTAATCTGCTATACTTAGCAAAAATTGAAGTACAGAAAAAACAAGTTATGTTTGAAGGTAATAATTAAAGGATTTTTCATAATTGATCGATTATGCAAGGATATTCAGTTTTGGTCCTCTCTAATTTTTTGAAAATTTTTCTTCATACGTGCTTGATCTTAGAGTCTGGTTCGGTAATATTATCATCCTAGAAAGAAGAGAGTAGCTAGGTACAATAATAAGATTTGTTTTCTTTCTTCTTCTTTTTAATTGAAAAATAAAAAATTTAGGTAATAAAAAGTCTAACATGAAAAATAAAATGATAATCCAATCTTCCTGAATTCTTGAATGATTTATTTTTCTAGGTGAGTATATTATAATATGATTGGATTAAGTTTCAAAATTACCTTCACCTCCCTTGAGGAAACAGTATTATTAGATGATACAGAATCAACATTTTTGGCAGGCTGTAAATCTTTGTTAGCATCAGCAGCAGGAACTATGGACGTTTCTGAAGCTCCATCTGTTTCCATTTTTCTTCTCTGCAAATTCTTTCTAACAAGTTACTACCAATATTTGTTTTCTTTGTCCAAGAAAGAAAGAAAGAAAAAAAAAAAAAAAAAAAAAATTCTTTCTAACAAGGTACTACCAATATTGTTTTCTTTGTCCAAGAAGAAAAGAAAGAAAAAAAAAAAAAAAAAAAAAAAAAAAAAAAAAAAAAAAAAAAAAAGAGCAAAATACTTGGCTTCTTTTAAATAATTTTTTTTGACAAATGTCATGTTCCATATGATAACAAGCTGTTATTTTTTTATGGTATCAATGGATTTCTCTTTCCGATCACAAATGCCCGGAATATCCGTCGGATTAACTGTTTCTTAGACATTTGTATTGGCAAAATTAGTTAGTAGCACCCTTTAATGTGCAATTTAAAATTGTGGCATATCAGTGAACGCAAATACAATAATTAAAAGTATTAATAACATTATATTTTTTAGAATAACCAATTTTATAAAATAATTTAATTTTCTCACAGTTTGAAATGAATGATAATGTAATTAAATTTTCCTACCAATCTTAAGAGTTAAATTCTTAGCACTTGCCCTGGATGGACTTCCGGATCATAATTACTTTAGTGAGTAACAAAAGAAATTAGATAAACGGGAGATAAAAGAAAAAGAAACTAATTGTAAGCATCTTTCATAACTTTACTAATTACTTGGAATTTTGGTGGGTCTCTTTATATGTGTTATCCAAAAAAAAAAAAAAAGGACTGCGAATGATTATTGTTCGCTTGGAATCAGAAGTAAAAATTTGGTAGATAAAAATCCCATGAAAATTTCTTTTAAGGAATAGGGTCGGACCCGGTTTCATTCTTAAGACAAAAAAAAAAAAAAAGGACTGAATGATTATTTGTTCGCTGGAATCAGAAGTAAAAATTTTGGTAGATAAAAATCCCATTAAAATTTCTTTTAAGGAATAGGTCGGACCCGGTCATTCTTAAGAATAATAGCTAAGGAATCTGATACTACCACTTAGATCTATAACTACACTTAGATCTATAACTTAAATGTTGATGGTCACAATTTGGACTAGAACTTATAAGTTGATGTTCACGATTTCAATAGCCATACAAATGATTTGGAGGAGATTTCTAGAAAAAACCAGATATTATTTTACTTTTTCACATTACTTTTCCATGATCAACCAAAGGCTCATATACTACATTTGAGAGACTTTTAAAAAATTGTTGTTTTGATATAGTTTACCATTTGACACAACAAAAATACCATAAATTGTTCAAAATCATTTATTCATCACACCTACTTTTGAGAGTTCTCCAAATTCTAAATGAAAGATGAAATTTATCAAAATTTTCATTTCGATGAGAGATTATTTTCAAAAGTACCCTCTTTACCAAATAAAAAAACTGCATAAATCCACAGAATTACATCCGTGAATTTTTAATTACAGGTATTTCAAAACCTTCAATCCAAACACCGCTTTAAAAAAAAATAAAAGCACTAGAAATGGATACAGATATCCAGTGATGTAGAGAATATAGTGCCAATATGATTTTAGTCTATTGTTTTCGTTTCTGGATAATAAACTTGAAATCCTAAAAAACTTAGACATTAATTCTGAGTGTCTTGTTACATGACTAGCAAAAATCATTGTCTTAATGCATTCTGGATGAGATAATAGACAATGAGTTTTCATAGTTCAAAGCACATTTTTACTCTTACCTTCATAGCAAGTGAGATGATATCTGTGAGCAGGCAACAAATTTGAGATCTATGATTCATTGGCTTGAAATCATGCGTCTAGTGCCCATCATCTTAAGCTCCTAATTTCTTGACCCAAAACCACGAGGACTTGGCCTCAATGATGCTGAGTCAGCAAACTGCCTCCTTGATTCTGACCTTCTTTTCCTCCTTGCAGTACCAGGAGGAGCCTTATCCAGAACAAAACCCAAGAAATACAAGATTAGACTATAATACATGCATAAAGTACTCTGTTAGAATATGCTTTTATATTAGTTCCAAAAAAATACAACTGCACAAGCTATTACAATCTGTTAGCATTCTGGAAAATTGCATAGAAGGTGCACAGTTTTAACAAAATGTAAACTATGGAGAAGTTCACAAGTCCCATAAAAGTTATTCCCCAAAAAGCAAGATAATCTAGCATACCATTGCAAAAAGAAAATCCAAATGAAGAAATATGGGCATAAAATGACCTAATAAACATGTTAAGTTCTGCTTGAATTCATTGTGTTATTAATTACATCAATTAATGGGTCATGCCGTAAAAGGGAGATCAGAAAATTTCCATTTCTTTCTCCCCAGTCAGTGTCCAAAGATGTTGTTAACTTCTGAAAAGCTAACTTGAATAAAAATAGGCCACAACCAACATCACTTGGTACCCACGTGGAAAGACTCCACCATCTACAGTGTCCTTTTGTAATCCACATTATCTATGATTCTTGTCTAAGCAAGTTTACAGAAGTAATGATAATGCCTTTGTTCATGTCACACAAAAATGTTGTTGACCTAAAGCAGAACTCAGCTAGTTTTGATAATGGAAAAAAAAAAAATATAGATTGGAACTACTAGTGGTTTCAAAAGCGTCTTTGTCAGACATTATCACATATTGCTGATCCCATGAGTGCTGACAGCTTGTTTGCCATAGGTGAGGCAACAGCCGTTCCCATCCAAGGAGTGAGGAGCAAATTGATTGCAGTATTGAAATGAACAATTTTGGAGATTTAAGTTATACTTTTGAGCTGTAAACAAATTTATACCATGCAACAGCAATGGGTAAAGATAACATAAAGAACAGTACAGTGTGTGAATTTGAATGGGAAAACACACATCAAATTGTTAGTTGAATGTAAGCACATACATAAAACTGTGTATGCAATGCATTAGTAGAGAAGGTACCTTCTGTTCAGCTTTAAGTGAGTCTTCAAGATTGCTTAGAGCAGGTATAGATCCACCCTCCATTACACCCATTAGATTCTTCATACGGACACGCATTTGGAAGAGTTGAGCAACAAGTTGACTCACCTAACATTGATACCACATTTTACATATAACAAGAAACCATAGAACTAAGTTTGCAAGTAGAAAAAAGTGTAGAACTTCCCCACTCCCAAGAGCAGATATGATGAGATTAGCATAAAATCTTGAATTGAGTAGCACCAATACCTGCTGCTCTGTTTTCCCAGAATCCTGAGCAATTCTCTTCCTCCTGGTAGGAGATTCAGCCAACAGCTCAGGCTTTTCTCTTTCCTCTGCAAATACACAAAGTCAGAGAACTAAGGACAACATTTTTGAGCATTAAATGAAAGAATTACTATCTCATAAAACTAAGAAAGTACATATTGCATCTCTGTTGAGTAGGGATTTAGTTTAAGTGGACTGTGTAAACAGTTGCATTTAAAGAAGGTACTTAATCAATTCAACTCAGAATCAGCCAATAAGTAATATGTTTCCAAAAACTGGCTTTTGTTGCATCCAGTGTATTTAAAATCCATAGCATGCTATGGCAAATGAAAGAAGCTATACAGGCATCTGGAGAAGAGAACTGGGAAATTGCCAATCAAAGATTAATGGAAGTGTATCATTGTAATATGTGAAAGGAAGAGAACTAGGACACCTTTACAAAACAACCTGATGGGTTCTGAATTTATGTTGGTTTTTACCACCTTTTAAGTTCTTTATACTATTCTCCTTTTCAACATATTGTATTCAATTAGGAGTATTACACTGCCCAAATGCAAACCAGGTCTGATAAGGGCATTTACATGTTCTTGCATTTATTAACTTATGATCCAAATAGCCAAAAAAATCATAACATCCTGATAAAAAGAATCATCGGATTACAGTTAAGACTTGATGGACTTATAACTAATCTAAACCATGCAGAAAACCTTAATATCAATATTCATCAGTAACCTACTATCTTGAATTATGACCCTATTTATCATTAAACATGATTTCAACTGGTCAAGTTATGTTCGATATATCAAAATGATTTTCACAAATTGCAGAGACAAGATACCAGGAGTCATTGCTTCAATCATTGCTTCCATTATCTTTAAACTCTTCTCAGCTTCTCGAATTTGTGCAGGAGTAACCTGTTTACATACACATAGGAAAGTTATCTGAAGCTTTCTCAACAGTCTATAGAGTTAAAAAGGAAATGCAAACCAGCTATTTCTCAATATCTACATTTTGGTTCATTGGTTGAACCAGAAAACTGGACACAATAATTCACATGCTATCAGTACTGTAAGTAATAAAAAAGGCTGGAGCATGACGTATCTTATACCTGCCAGCGGACAAAATTATAATGACAAAGAGAAAGCAGGTTTTTATACCTTCCCCATTCCTGGTATCATCCCTATGACACGAGTCATTGAACCCATACGTGCAACAGCACGAGTTTGCTTTAGGAAATCATTAAAGTCAAACTTAGCACTCATTATCTTCTTTTGCAATTCTTCAGCATCTTCTTGTTGCATCTATACAGACAAACAAAACAAAGAATTGCATCAAGATATAATCTTTTTAAGAAAAAATAAAATGGAATTTCACAGAACTTACAACTTCTTGTGCCTTCTCTACAAATGAAAGAACATCTCCCATTCCTAGAATGCGCCCAGCCATACGATCAGGGTAGAAAGGTTCAAGATCCTCCATACGCTCTCCTCGTCCAACAAGTTTAATTGGCTTCCCTGATACCTGTCACCATTGAACTATTATAATAAAGAATATAAAATCAATCTCAATATATTAAACTTTCATTTGTTAGAAACTTTTTAATAATCCAGGAAAACCAAAAAATGCCACTAAGAAATGGAAATGCATAATAGCTTCTGTCACAAATGCGAGTCACTCAAACAGCATTCACTCCAGATTCATGAATGGAATTCAACCATCTTAAACCACAGGACCAAATGTCCAGATGCAACATTAATCTATTCTAACCTGAATGCTACATCACATGGTCAATGAAGTGGTTGTGACGATATTTCTGAATGATAAAACTCTTAGCCGATGATATCTCCACAGATCATTCCTCTGATTTAGGAACAGATTACAATTAATTTCCTGTAATTAATCTCTGTAATTCCTTTCCATATTCTGTTTGTATTCTCCCTATTTAAAGGGTCTTGTACATCAAGATAAAAAACTCTTAGCCGATGATATCTCCACAGATCATTCCTCTGATTTCATTCCTCTGATTTAGGAACAGATTACAATTAATTTCCTGTAATTAATCTCTGTAATTCCTTTCCATATTCTGTTTGTATTCTCCCTATTTAAAAGGTCTTGGACATCAATACAAAATCATCAAGAATTCAAAATCCTCAAACACTTTCATGGTATCAGAGCTTCAGTTCTGAATTCCCTCCCTCTCCTTTCTCTCCCATATTTTTTTTTAGCTGCTGCCGCCGATAGCCATGACACAAACAGAAGTCCCATCTTCGACCTCCAACCCTAAAACACCCACCCCCATTCACCCTGCCTACTCTCTGTGACTTAACTGACTAACATCCAATCAAAAATAAGAACCCTAGATGGTAGCACAGTTACATACACATCATGGGTGAAATTATTCAAGTTTCATTCTATTGCATACCGTGTTCTTGATCACATTGATGACACGCCACCCCCAGCCTCTACAGATCCATCGTACAGTGCCTAGAAAGAAATAGATGCCTTGGTGTCTCAATGGATTTACAGTACCGTGTCTGATGAACTGCTCACCCGCATCCTTGACACTGAAGCTACGGCTAGAAAAACATGGCTGAAACTTGAGAAAATCTTCCTTAGCAACAAGAAAGCAAAAGCGGCAGCTCTTGAAACAAAATTCGTTAATCTCACCCTTAGCCTGCAGTTCCGTTGATGATTACTGCAAGAAATTGGAAAGACATGTCCGACAACTGAACGAGTTGACCAACCAGTTACAGAATCCCGATTGGTCTCTACAACTGGGTTCGTGGCCTTCCTCAAGGAATTCGACGCCAATAGGCTTCTCTTATTAACTCACAAAACGCAGGGACTGGACCTGCACGAAAACCCATGTTAATGATGAGGTCATTCGCCAGCTTGCCACGACAAACAAACCACCTCTGTCCTTGTCGCTCCAACCAGCAGGACAAACCCAAACCCCACCGGCCCGGCAACTCAACAACCTGAAAAACAATCCAGCCCCCACAACAGTCTTACCACTCCAATTATAGAGGCCGTGGTCGAGGCAGACGTGGCAGAGGCAGAGGACGCGGCTACAGGGGAAACTCTACGGGGACTCCTTGGGCTATAACACATCAATCCGCCAATCAAACCTTCAGTCCGCCAATCAAACCTACCCAAAATGGGCTTGGTGGAACACTCCACCTTGTCCCTACCCAACACAAACTCCATGGCCACCAAATCATATTCAAAACACACCCAATGCCCATTATGCCGCTTATTTAGAACAGCAGCCATACGGCCCAGCACCACCATATCCCCCTCCACCGCATACTGGATATGATGCTTTAAGTCCTTCCGATCTCAGCCAAGTTTATAACACGATGCAACTCAACTACACAGATCCAAATCTGATCATGGATACAGGGGCAGAACGTCATGTCACCGTCATGTCACCGACAACCGAGGTATGATTCGCAACCCTGACTCTTTTCCTGTTAACACTAAACTTTTAGTCGGCAACGGACACTATTTACCAATTGAGGGCTCAGGAACAGGTTACCTTCCTATCCTTAACTGTACATACATCCTCCCAAACATACGTTACAGCCCACATATCATTAAAAATTTATTATCTGTCCGCGTGATAACAATATTTCTGTTGAATTTGACCCTTTTGGTTTCTCTTTGAAGGACCTCAAAACGGGACAGCTCCTTTCCCGCCACAATAGTACCGGAGATCTCTATCATGTCACTCCACCAACCCTACCACCACAAGCTTGTTCAATCACATCTCCAAATTTACCTTGGCACGATCGCCTCGGTCACCCTGGCACACAAGTTTTAGATGTTTTAACCATGGTTTTTAACCCAAACAGTTTGGTCTTCTTGTAATAAGAACAAGATTTATTTTTTTGTAATTCTTGTCAATTTATCTAATAGCAACGATTTACCTTTTTATGAGTCAAATTCCTTTACTTTTTCACCCATTTGATATAATTACACTGGACTTGTGGACCTCAAACCTTATTTCCAACAAATCTAGGATATAAAATACTACATTGGGTTGCTAATTTTGATAATTTTTCCCAATTATGTGTGGGTATACCCGTCTCAAGGTTCAAATTTCGTGGAAACCTTTCACCCACCTTTTATTTTTCCAATTATGTGTGGGTATACCCTCTCAAGTTCAAATCTGAAACTTTCACCACCTTTACTAAATTCCATAAACTCATAGCCACCCAATTCAACCGCAATATCAAAACTTTTCAATGTGACTTGGGGCTTGGGGGGAGAATTTGACAACCATAACTTCAAAATTTTTGCCCAACAACATGGTCTGTTATTCCGTTTTTCATGCCCCCAAACATCTTCCCAAAATGGTCGGGCTGAACGCATGATTCGTCGTCTCAACGACATCATCCGCTCATTCCTCATCCATGCTGAATTACCACCTATGTTTTGGGTCGAAGCACTTCACACTGCTGCCTATCTCCATAACATCTTTCCAACCAAACGTCTCAATTATTTCACACCCACTTTTGCCTTATATCTCCGCCACCCGACATACGATCACTTACGTGTGTTCGGGTGTGCTTGTTATCCCAATCACCCAATACTTCGCAACCGCAGGACAAACTAGTACCACAAATTACACTCCAAGACGTTAAGATGCATCTTCCTTGGATACCCTCTCAGATTTTAGGGATATCCGATGGCTTGCCCTACAAGCCGGGAAGAATCCCACATATCACGACATGTAACCTTGTGTATGAACAAACTTCCCATACACCATTCTAACTCCAACCCACACAACATGACACATTTCTGATGAACAACCACCAGCCAAAGATTTAAGTTATACAACGCTCAACCCTAAACCAAACAACGCACCCCAAACCCAAAAACAGCCCAATCCTCCTTACCACATAATATAACACCCGCCGATAACAACGACACCTTTAACCCAGTGGCCCAATGGCTACGGCACCCCAACACACTGGCTGCACCCTGTTCATCAACAAACTGACCTCCGCCCAGACCACCGCTGTATCAAAACCCGCACAGAATACCCATCCAATGACCACCCGCTCCAAAGCTCGCCATGCCCTTATGACCACCTCAATTTCACCTATACCCACCTCTTATGCAAAAGCTTTTTCTGACCCTCATTGGTTAAATGCTATGCAGGCTGAGTTTCGTGCTTTGCAAGAAAATGATACATGGGAACTCGTGTCTCGCCCTCTTGACCGACCGGTCATTCGGTGTATGTGGCTTTTTCGTCACAAATTTAAATCAGATGGGTCACTTCAAAGGTACAAAGCACATTTGGTGGTAAATGGCAAATCTCAAACGGTGGGCATTGACTGTGACGATACTTTTAGTCCCGTAGTGAAACCCGCTACTATACGGACTGTGTTATCCATTGCAGTTTCCCGTTCTTGGCCAATACACCAGTTGGATGTTCATTGCCATTTTACACCAGTTGATGTCAAAAACGCGTTTTTACATGGGATGTTAATGAAAACTTTTTTATGGCAGTCAACCCCCCGGTTCACAAAAATAGAAGATACCCTCATTTTGTGTGCAGATTGAAAAAATCCCTTTTATGGGCTCAAAACAGGCGCACGGGCTGGTACATCCAGATTTTGGCACCCATCTGCTGTCTCATGGTTTCGGCAAGAGTGTGTGTTGACAATTCCCTATTCATATTTCTCAAAGGGAAATCCTTGCTTATTTACTTCTGTATGTTCGATAGATATGATGTGCTCACTGGCTCTTCTAATGATGTTATTACAAATATTATCCCATGCTTCTCACGCCGAGTTGCAATGAAGGATTTGGGCCGGGTGCATCATTTCTGGGAATCAAAGTGAACACGGACATTTGGTGGTTATTTTTGGATCAGGTTCTCAATACACAAAGGAATATCATCTCCAGAGCTCAATGTCCTCTTGCAACCGTGTGCCCCCCAAGTCGATCTATTCATCAAAAACTGAGCTGCTTCTGATGACCTCTCTATTCCTGATCGCAACATATAGCCCGCAGTCTTGCTTGGCGCAATTAACAGTATCTCACATTCACGAACCGCCCAGAATATAATCATATGCTGTTCAACAAATAGCCGCTCTTCATGCATGAACGCGCGGGAATCCAACTATGCTTTTCTGCAAAAGGAATAATCCGATATTTACAAGTGCACAGTTGACCTATAGTGAACACGGTATAGAGAATTGGCAAGACAAATACACATACCTTGGGTAAAACAATACTCAGTGACGCAAGATTGAGGGTGGAATGCCCAGACTCCCATAAAGATCAAACAACTAGTGGCTACTGTGTTTTCCTTGGTGATAATTTGATTTCATGGTCTTCAAAACGGCAGCCTACTATCTCACGGTCTAGTGCAGAGGCAGAATATAGAGGAGTAGCCAATGTTGTTGCAGAGACCACCTGGCTTCGCAATTTACTTCTGGAATTACACCTCCCACTTCAGCAGGCCTCCGTCGTATACTGTGACAATGTTTCAGCAGTGTATATGTCTGACAATCCTGTCCAGCATCAACGCACAAAACACATTGAGATCGACATACACTTTGTACGGGAGAAAGTTCGAATAGGCCACATTCGGAGGCCACATTCGGGTCTCCACAGATTGTCCCATCTGCCTTTCAAATATGCTGAATCTTCACCAAGGCTATCTGACAGTTTGTTCCAGTCATTTCGATCCAGCTTGAGCGTCGCTGTCCTCGCGCACCCGCTCAAAACTGCGGGAGTCCTTAGCCGATGAATATCTCTCACAGATCATTCTCTGATTTAAGGAACAGATTAGCAATTAATTTTCCATGTAATTAAATCTCTTATTCTTTCATTCCTCTGATTTAGGAACAGATTACAATTAATTTCCTGTAATTAATCTCTGTAATTCCTTTCCATATTCTGTTTGTATTCTCCCTATTTAAAGGGTCTTGTACATCAAACAAATCATCAAGAATTCCAAATCCTCAAACACTTTCAAAAACCAGCCAGGATATTCAATATTTACATTCATAAGTGGCAGAAACCCAAATATATATGCCACAATGAGTTTATTTTCTAGCTATAGCACATATATGCTCTCTCTTTCTCTCAACAGAGTAGAGTTCAGTCAAACCAGTTTTCACATATTCAGTGAGATAGGCTGACAGGAATCCAGCTTGAGCAGGTCAGTCTGATAGGAATCCAGCTACATAGTACAAGTGAACTAAGAATCAATGTCTTGTTCGGTTAAACTTTTCAATGTTAGGTGCAAGCTCTAGATCGATCAGTTACTACTTGGCTGATCACATTTCCTAGTACTAATACCCACTAACCCTGAAATTTAACCAAGGACCTTGATTGCATATAGAAATGCATCAAGACTCATTATCACTTATCAGAAAACCAATTCACCTTCTGTAATTTCAATTCAATAAAATAGATACAGCCAACTTAGCATTGCAGGACACTGACATTCCAGATAATGGAATTGCAAACACTCGTAGAGTGCAAGAATATCTTGTTTAGGAACAAACTCCTGACTATACAATGAAAATCCAGGGACATTATAAAACAAACCTCCTTAACGCTCAAGGCTGCACCACCTCGAGAATCACCATCGAGCTTTGTCAAAATTGCACCCGTAATTCCAATTTCAATATTGAAGGTTGATACTAACACTGTTAATTTGCAAAAGGAAAAGCATAATGAGTTTAATTTTTGAAATAGTCATCACAATTATGATTTTTCAATATGGGGAATTAAGCAGGAAAAAGGACAAAAGATTGCTGGAGCAGGACTATGTAGCATGCATGATGTAACAGATTATACACAGATCACCCACCAAAAAAAAGAGGCATTGCTATAAATGTCAATTTTTCACTTCCATACACAAATCTAAAAAAAAAAAAAAAAATGAAGGGGTTATCATAAAATAATACACTATAACTTAAAATCAATACATGTGCTATTGATGGAAATATTGGATGTGGAGTGAAAACTCCTACTTATTCTCATTCACTATTTAAATGTTACAAATGATATGTAAACTGAAAAAAAAAAAAAAATAGCTTTCTTATTCATAAATGATAGTCATGAATGGATAGATAAACAATTAAACAAAGCAGTAAATCATAAAAGAGAAATGGAATATTTCTCATGCACTAAGTTCTTAAAGAGGGTATAGGTATTAGTTCTGCTAGCACCTGTATACTTATTTGCTAATTTATTGGGAAACCAGAAATGCCAATACTGCCTATTGCCAAAATACAACTAAATTCATGACAATTCAAGATCACTGTCATCAAGCAGCAAATAAATTATAACAAACTAAAAAGTAGTGCAATATTTGTAACAGATGAAGTTTTAACAACGTGAACATGCATAAGTTTTCTAGTGAACATGATATAACCATGGGGGTTTTAGACATAGCAAAATAATAAAACCTCATAGCTAATGACTATTCCACGCCTGTGATATGCAAACTCAAATTTCATTCCATCTTTGCATTTGCAGAATTATATAGTCCTTATGCACTTGTTTAGTTCTCAGTAAACAGAGAGAAAAAAAAAAGATCATAAAGTAAGAAGGTGAAGCTCTCAAAATTTGACCATCATAAAACAATGGAAGTGTCCAACTACCTGCAGCTTCTTGGCCAGTCATCGCATCCACAACAAGCAATACTTCTGTGGGATTCAATACCCGTTTAACTTCTTTTAGCTCATCCATCATTGCTTTATCTATCTGTTTAAAATTAAGAAAACTAAATAACACTAGGTAAAGATCAATATATGAGAACTACTGAATCAGTGAGAATGTCAAGGCGTTATCTTATGAATGAACATAAGAATCATTACCTGCAGTCTTCCTGCAGTGTCTACTATGACCACATCTATTTTTTTCTTTTTGGCCTCCTCTAAGCCTCTTTTAGCTATTTCTGAAGGTTTAACCTCTGTACCCTCCGCATAAACAGGCACACCCACCTGTCACAGCTATAACCAAAGATGAGAATAATAATGGATAGCCAATAATAACAAACATAAGTTAGCAAGCAAAAGTAATGATCTATATAAGATAGACTCCAATCTTGCTGCAAAAATTTTCATATTATATTCTAAACAAGGATTAATACAAGAATGCAAAAGTAAACAGACAATTGGACCAACAAACTGATTTTCAAATATGTGTGCCCAAAGCATTTTCTTAAGAATGAGAATCCAATACCTGTTCACCCAAAATCATGAGTTGGTCGATAGCAGCAGGTCTATACACATCTCCAGCAACAAGCATGCATGACTTCCCCTGCAGCAAGCATCACATATACTGGTGAATGAGGTTAAGCATAATCCAATACTTATAAACAGTACCACAAACATAAATTTGCACCGATAAACTAGAGAAAAATACATGCTAGCCTTTCAAAATGCACCTGTTTCTTAAGATAATTAGCCAACTTTGCACAAACTGTAGTTTTCCCAACTCCTTGTAAACCAGCCAGTAATATAACAGTGGGGCCAGATTTTGCAAAAACCAGTTCAGACACCTCTCCCCCCATCAATTTCACAAGCTCATCATTTACAATCTGCAAGAAAAAAACTCCATTACATCTAGTAAAAACAACTAAGAGAAAATGATATGTGGGATGTATTTGCATCAGAGATATTGTAATTGCTAATTCAATATTCATATTCACTAAAAGATTCTTCTGTTTATGACTTCTTAAAAAGTTCCAACTAACATAATTGTCTAGTCCAACAGAATACAGGACCCAAATCTTTATTTACCAACACAGGAATGAAGCATCACCAAATTAATTCCACAAAAGAACAATAGTTTCGTCACTTTTAAACTAACTGGAGTTCATAGAAATGCAGACCTTGACCAACTGCTGATCAGGTTTCACTCCTCTTATGACACCAACACCGACTGCTTGGTCACTTACTGATTGTACAAACCTTCTTACAACAGGAAGGCTCACCTGTCACCAAAGAGGCCTTATAGTTCCATTTGTGCAAATGAAAAACTAATGAATGATGTCCGTAAGCAAAATTCACTTACATCTGCTTCTAGAAGAGCTCTTCTGATATCCCTCATAGGCTCAGCAATATTCTCCTTGGTCAAAACCTCTAGAATTTATATATATATTTTTTTAAATAAGGCAAAAACAAACCAAATATCAACACTCAAATGACTACATGTCACAATCAATCTACTTTAAAAAAATGATTGAAATGAATAAAAAAAGAGAAAAAAGAAAAAGCAAAAACCTTCTCCTTTGAGCTTGCTCCAAGCTGCTTCAAGGCCGCTTGTTAACTGCCCAAACATTTCTGCTTTAACAACACCTCGAACGTCTCTTTTGAGAACAACACTCTTACAATTCACCCAACTCCACAGCTCCCTCTGTTAGTTAACAGCTAAAGCATTGACTAAAGCTAAGCAAAAGCTAACAAAAGCAATTTATAGGAAGCCAGAGTATAAGACGTATAAATCTAAATTTAGAGGGTTTCTACTTACAGCGAACAAATTTCTAGCAGAAAGCGAAGAAAAACTGCTGGAACCAGTCCACGAAGAACGAATTTCAGATGAAGTTCTCGAGCATTTCGAGAGGCTTAAGTTTCTGTGATTGTTGTTTTTCGAGAGACAGGAGGAGGAGAAATGGCGGGAGGCAACGGTCGAGAACTGTATGGCCTCCATATGCAAGCTCTATAACTGTAAACGTTCCCTCTCTCTCGCTCTGCTGCTTCTTCTATCTGCTGAAAATCTGTTTCTCGTTGGATTTCTATCTACCCGTGGCTCACTTTATCGAGTTGGTTGGAGGAAGGGGATAATATTATGTACACGCAGGAACTTGGTTAGATCTTGAGCCATCCTGTTGATGACGTGGATGCATTAGACGTCAGAATTCTGGCCGTTTTACTCGTCGCTGCTCGCTGGTGGCGAAACGCATCGTTTATGCGAATAAGACACTAAATTTGTAATCGGGTGGTTACAGTTCAATTTAGTTTGATTTGGCGGATTTGTATAAACTAAACTGATAATGATATTTGATAGAAATTTACATCGAACTAAAATCATAATTCTAGTTGATATTCAAGGCCCGTTTGACAGGGTTTTGAAAGCCCAGATACTGAGGTAAAACAGCTGTGAGAACAGCTAAATTTGCCAACAGACCCTACCTACTTACTATAGAGTTTATTCTCTTCCAGAATTCTTTATTCTTTATTATTTCTTCTATTCTGTGATCATGGCTTCTATATTTCCCTCTCCTTCTAATACAATAGAAAGCGAACGTTAACATTAACAATGTCCCTTCAATTTCAATTGAAAACCCCTTTCCCTTCCCTCCATCCTTTTCACCACAAATCCAATCCTCTTCAATTTCCTTCCGTTTCCACTCTCAAACTACCTTCTAAAACCCTTCTTAAACCTCTTAATTCCATCAAACTCCCTTCTCTCCTTCCTTCCACTCCACAAAGCCCCAATCAATACAAACAACAACAGTCCAATTCATTTTCCAACACTTTCCACTCTTTCTCCACAATCAGACCCTACATTCTCTCCCAGCACAAGCCCATCCTCCTTGGTTGGTTCTCTAGCCTTGTCTCTGTTATCTCTCTCTCCCAACTCGTCCCCAGAATTGGCCAATTCTCAGCGACAATCGGGAAAATTGATGCTGTTAGACTCAGAAATGAGGGGCTAGTACTTGGTGCTGTCTTTTTGGCCAAGCTAATTGCTACTTACTGGCAGCAGGCACTTTTATGGGAGGCAGCGGTCAGTGCCGGTTATGAGATCAGGGTTCATGTTTTTGAGAGGGTATTGCAGAGGGAATTGGATTTTTATGAAGGAGGAAATGGGGTTTCTAGTGGGGATATTGCTTATAGGATCACTGCAGAGGCTGCTGATCTTACTGATACTCTGTATGCTCTTCTCAATGTGAGTAATTTGCATATATGGATTTTTATAAGTTGTTACCAATTATGATTCTATAGAACAAATAATTGAGTTTTGGTGATTGTGGATAGGATCACATGGTTAAAGCTTGTGCCATTAAGTGCTTTCGCTTTGATAATTATAAGTGTAATATCTATCACAGACCATTGTACCCAGCGCCCTGCAGTTATCAGTTATGGCATCACAGATGTTGGCTATCAGCCCTGTACTTTCCTTGATTTCAGCCATGGTAAAGAATTAATTCGGTAATATGGACATGTATACACTTGAAATATTGGGTCTTCAGTTTTGTGTGTTTGCTGTAGGTCATACCATGCATAGCTCTTGTTATTGCATATCTTGGTGAAATGCTTCGTAAGATATCTAAGAACGCAAATCTTAGCACTGCAACTCTTTCGGCCTACCTCAATGAGGTACATATTATAATCCATTTTGTTACCCACAATCTCTGCTTGGTGTGGTTCTTGTATTGCTTGACTTGTACCTTTTTCTCAAGTATCTTCATTTTTAGCAAGACTTCTTTGTATATGTGGTAGAATAATTAAACATGAATATATATATCTCATGGATATATGTTTTCATGCACAATATTTATGTTCAATATATTTACTTCATAACTTTATTATGACTGTTTATTCCTGTTAACACTTCATATTTTGTTATTTCTTGTTGGCGAATACAATTTGTTTAGTGCATATTAATTTTCTATGTTTTAGGTCCTTCCAGCCATTCTTTTTGTGAAAGCAAACAATGCAGAGCTATGTGAGAGTGCTAGGTTTCAAAGGCTTGCCTATGCTGACCTATCTGAACACCTTAAAAAGAAGAAAATGAAAGCACTCATCCCCCAGATCATACAGATTATTTATTTTGGAGCATTATTTACCCTTTGTTGTGGGTCACTGGTGATTTCATGTGGTTGTTTTGATGGCTGTAGCATGGTTTCTTTTGTAACATCATTGATTTTCTTGGTGGAGCCAATCCAGGTAATAACATCTATCCATAAGATCTCTTCAAAAAAGGGATTTATTGATTACTTTCTTGTATGTCTTGTTCCAAATTCCAATAACTAGACCAAAAAAATTTGTTCGTATTTTCTTAATAGATTCCTATAACTCTTTGCAAATTATTGGTCATATCATCAGTCAGCCATTTTTTATCTGTCTTTAAGTTTTTAAACTTAATCAGAAGAATTGCGCAGGATGTTGGAAAGGCATACAATGAATGGAAGCAAGGAGAACCAGCTATTGAACGACTATTTGATTTGACCAGCTTAAAATCTAAGGTAATCAATGCTTTTTTAAATAGTAACTGTCTTTCGAACTATTTTTCTTACATCTTTTAAATTTTGCAGTATTTTTTTTTATTCTGAAGTGATGCGACTGAATTGAGTTGGCCAGTTGCAAACCTGCTAGTTTCTAAAGCCACCCTTATTAATTTAATTGTGTGATTAGAATCTTCTTTTTTTTTTTTTTTTACCTCATCTTTTATGTGAAATGTATTTAATTATGATAAATAGTAAAAGAAATTTACTTCTTAGTATAATTTAAGTTTGACTTTATGACTGATAGTTAGTTCTTTGCTGCCATCTTTGTTGTACAAGTCAGTGATTATAGAAATTCCATTTTAATTTTGTTAAAAGGTTGATGGCTTTGAGGAACAGTCACGAATTTTGGGGCTGTAATATAGTTATAATGATGGTTTTTGACTGCAGCAAAATTAGGTTTGTTATTGTATGATACTTTTATTACTTAAAGCATTTTTACCCATTGTTTATTACTCCTTCTATCCCGAAATATAAGTCAGTTTAGGATGATTGTTTTGTCCATAACTATAAAACATTTTGAGTATTTTAGGGAGTAATAAATGATCTTTTTCTAATTTTACCCTTATTTATATTAGATACAATAACTATATTCACAAGTTTCTAAAATCGTTTTTATCATTTTCCTATTTCTTTATTAATTATCGCAGTTGTCATGTTAAGTTTCTGTTGCTCAGTTTCCTAAAATCTATTGAAGGCTGTGGCGATACATATTTTTTACTTCTATAAGCATATTTTGTAAAATGAGTAAATGAAGAGAGTTAAGGTTTCAATGGAGGTTGAAGATTCTTTTGAAGATAAAAATTAAATTTTCGTTCATAAAAAATTTTGGAGGAAGACAAAATTTTGGAGTATTCAAAAAGGAAATACTAAATTTTAGTTTCATGATTGGAAGTGATGCAATAATTTTTGTTAGTGATATATTATTGGAGAGAGAATTTTTGAGAACTGAGCTAGGGGAATTATGTGAGATAGAGAGTAATTTGGTCAAATTACTCTTGATTTTGATATAATTTAGGGAATTAATTATTTCCTTAATCTCCGTGCAAAAACTTTAAACGACTTATATTTGGGACGGAGGAACTATATGTTAATGAATATGTATGTCTTGCTGCTATCATATGTTTGAGAGAGGTGGACTAATTTAAGACTTAAACTTTAAGCATTGAGACATCTTTCACTTTATCAATGAAATACACCTGTAATTTGTTCTCATTTGCATGACCAGCATGTGACAAAATATAGGTAGATTATGTTATACACATTTTAATTTTTGTGGACGAAAATTTTCTGATCAATTTTTCTAAGCATTGCCCTTTCAATTCAACCGCATCCAAGTTTAAAGGTGAAGACTTTAATGAGATCTTCATCTGAACTAGAATTGGCAGTGCATATTTGCTGACAATTTCTTCTCCGGATTTGCATTTGTAGGATTTTTTTTTTTTCCTTTTTTGGATTTTTTTTTCTATTCTTTTCTTGCTTGTTGAGATATTTTTATTAGTGAGATAACCATGCTTTCTTTGAGCTCTTGAACTTTAGTCACAATTCAAACCCATATGATTTACATTGCCATACTGATACTACACATTCTGAAAACTTTTTTGCACTGTGGTAATAGCAGATTTATTTATCAGTTACTGAAATATGTAGTTCAGTAGGCATCTCTAGATGTAAAATAAATTCCAGAACAACTAGGTTGAATATGCGACTGTTGTTTAGTCATGTCATAGTTAACATAAATAGTTTGGTCACTTATTATTTGTTTTTGTTGTCTCAAATTAATTCACTCCCAATAGGTGATTGAGAAACCGAATGCTGTTGATTTGGACCATGTTAGAGGAGATGTCAAATTTTGTGATATCTCATTTAAGTATGGCGACAACAGGCCTCTTGTTTTGAATGAATTGAACCTTCATATTAAAGCTGGAGAGACAGTAGCACTTGTTGGGCCGTCCGGAGGAGGAAAGACAACGCTTGTTAAATTGCTTCTGCGGCTTTATAATCCTTCATCTGGTGAGCCATCTGAATTTACAATTTTTAATTATTCCCCAATAAATATGGTTAATTTATCGTTTGCTGTTTGGCCTTTAAAACTCTTTGTTCCTTTTTAAAAAGCAAGTCTTTTCTGATCCTCCCATGTCAACAGGTTGTGTACTTATTGATAACCAAAATATCCAAGACATCCGATTGGAAAGTTTGAGGAGGCATGTTGGTTTGGTTTCTCAAGATATAGTGAGTGACTAAACTTTCTTTAGTATAGTGAATTGTTGGTTATTATTGCAATAACTTTGCAGTTCATCTCTTTGATTATGTAAGAAGTAACAAAGTTTTGAATATTTGTTATCAATCAGATACTTGGTGCTGCTCGTTCTCTTGATTTTTATAGCACGCCTACTTTGACTTGAAAAGATTAAAATTTTTCTAGTTAATTTTGTGCGCATCATTTGTAATTGTAGCTCTGGCTGGTTGGTTCTTTCCTTAGGAGTGATGTGGTTGGACACACATGGTAATGCTCTGAATTATCTTGAAGTGGTTCATTAACCAACTGCTTGTGTGTGGATTAGACACTTTTTTCAGGAACAGTTGCTGAAAATATTGGATATAGAGATCTGATGACTGAAATAGACATGGAGAAGGTTGAGATGGCAGCAAGAACTGCAAATGCTGACGAATTTATTAGAAAGCTCCCTAAAGGGTACAAAACAAATATTGGACCAAGGGGCTCAAGTTTAAGTGGAGGCCAGAGACAAAGGTGATAGCTTCAATTTCAAACTCTTGATTCTATTTGTTGTGAATAATTTCCAGCAGGCTTGGCTATACATAACACATCTGATTCTGGGACTTTTGTTTAATGGAATTATTTACTTAATACATCCAGTTGACTGTAAGATAAATCTTATCCTTTTATTTCCTCTGCTTACATAAATTTGTAGACTAGCTATTGCAAGGGCACTGTATCAAGATTCTTCTATATTGATTTTGGATGAAGCAACTTCTGCTCTAGATAGCAGGTCTGAGTTATTGGTGAGACAAGCTGTGCAACGTTTAATGGAAAACCATACTGTAAGGATCACTGCTCATTCTATTTCTTTATACATACTTTCTTATTTATTCCCTTTCACTATTTTAGGAATGGATGTACTGAGCAATATGAAGTCTCTGAATCAGTTCGTGGTAATAGCATTATCATAACTAATCAAGCACTAAGTGACTAAGCATGTCTATGTTGGATCTTGACACATAGTGTGTCTGTATGTGTTGGATCCAGTTTGGACTTTTTGCTTGTTCCAATAGCAACTATTGTCCATATCACAGCCAAAATTACCTTTTCAAGCCCATTCAAACATCTACTGTCAACTATCTGCCAACTATTCTATCCTCAATTTTCTTTCGTAGCATTGATATGTAAGCTCTCTGTCAATAGTTTCACTCTTTCATAGATGAAAAACTCAAAATCAATATAGATGGCTGTATTAGAATGTGGTCAATGCTTCGGTGCTTCCTTATTTGACTATCAAATCTCGAGTTTCAATGCTTGTTAATTTCTATTATCCTAGAGATGGAACAGGTCTGAAGACAGTAGAAACTGTGAATTTTGCATTAAAAAAGTTATTATATTGTTTATTTGATAAGATCACCTCAGCATCATTATACTCAGAATCAGAAACATTCATTAGCTTGAATTACTGAAGTACGAATTTGGAAAGCCACATTATTGTTTAATTGAATCATAAGCATACAATGCTTTGTTCCCTTCACCACAACCACCAATCTTGTTTTGCTGAGTTGAACATGTTCTAACAAGGTCTATATGTGAATAGGTTCTTGTCATTGCTCACCGGTTGGAAACAGTTATGATGGCTAAGCGGATATTCATTTTAAACGATGGAAAACTTGAAGAATTGACTAGCTTAAATCTTTTGGGAGGTCACAACAATTCCCCATTACTGACTGGACTTGTGATTTGAGGGCATGGCTGGCAATATAATGGACAGACGATAGGAGTATAAACAGAGGCATGTACAGCATACAAAAAGTTTTTGTTGAGGTTTTTCAATTGTTCAATAACATTGAAGAAGAGATATTCATACTTCTGCATGATTTAGTATTAAGCCTTGATTTGAATTAGTAACAATTGGAGGTCTGCTATTTGTGTATATTTTTATGATGTATATGTAAAAGCATTGTTACCCTTTTCAGTTTATTATCTCAGAGTTAGGTTGGTTCTCCAGAGGAGCTTATTTAGAAAATATGAAAATAGAATGTTCTCTTTTATATACATATTTGCTTCCTTTTCTAGTGGAGTATTTGTTCAGTGATCAGCCAATGGATGCACAGCACAAGCAATTGACTTGGGCATTATTAGTTGTTTTGGGAAAATATAAGGAAGAGAGGTAAGACTTATTCTTAGATGTAAGTTAATTTAAATTCCTTATCTCTTCATTTTTACATGAATTATTTTTTCTCTTCTTACTTTTTATTTATCCCTTCTTCACCTCCATTAAAACAGGCTCTAAGAGGAAAACAAATGAAGCGAGTAATATGCAAAAGAAATCAAAATTTTGTGTATGTTAATGTTAATATTTAAAATTAGGAAAAATAATTAATTAATCTCTAAAGGTTTGGCCAAATTAACTAACTTGTCCTCATGTTTTATCAATATTAATTAAAAGTCCTCAAGATTTAATTTCGATAACTATTAAGTCATTCTATTTACTTTTCCATTATTTTGCTGTTAAAATATGTGAAAGACGAAAATAGCCTCAAAAGGACGATAATACCTTAGGTATTATGCATTCTACCATGATCTCTCTTGTCCAGGAAAAAAAAAAACAGCAAAGATACAAAACAAAGCAACGAATAATCTTTGCCATTGTATGGTAGTTTGGGGTTATTTGCGCGGAAAAGAAGTGATTGAAACAAGAGTGATGGCAAGTGCCTGAAAAACATGATAGGTAGAATTAGTGGAACTGTGGAAGTTGTGCGGATTTTCTAGGGAAAAAAGAAGAGAGGAAGGCCAAGAAAATATGATTCAGAAGGAAACCTATGACTATAACCATTTCATCAACCATAACATCAACACATGGCTTTTCTTTCTCTCTCTCTTCACTGACGGTCCCGCCTTCTGATGATTCTAAAATAGGTCGAGGTTGGCATGCAGGCTCCGGTAATTGGTAGCTTCTTGCTTCTTTAGGTGAGTTTAAAGAAACTCAGGAATTGAAAGGATAAAGTAAAAAAGAAAGCTTTCGGTGGATGGAAAAACTTGATAATTTACTTCAAGAACTTTTAATTAATATTGATAAAATACGAAAATGAGTTAATTAATTTGGTTAAATCTCCGGAACTAATTAATTATTTTCCCTTAATATTATAGTGCTTCATATTTCATTCAACTCATCAATGAAAAATTGTAGTTTTCATTTTTGTATATTTGTAATCGTAATCATAATATAATTACAAGACAAAATCAAAAATAAAAACTATGCAAAATAACACAATTGTAAGTCATACAATAATTTGTATCGTTTTCTCTTCCTTTTTTTTTAATTTTTAAATTTTTTAGTTTCCGAATTGTTAATTTTAAAAATTTTATTTAATTGACTCAAAAATAAAGTATTCTAGAAATCAACTTTTCTTATTCTGGTGTTGAATTTCCATTTGTTTTTGATTTCATTTAGTTTTACGTTCAAATCATATGTTTTTTTTAAATTTTATTTCGAAAATGTAAAAATATATTTTTTTTACTTTTAAACATTGACCTTAATTTTGGTCCAAAAATAAAATATTGCTTCAATTTGGTTTAAACTTAAAAACTAAACTTAATTCAACGTAACTAAATAATTAAAATTATGAATTTTAGAGTCCGTTTGGACAAATGAATTCTATAAAATTTATTAAATTAAAAAATGATAAGTTATTATATGGTATATAACAAATATAGTTGGTGTTTATTATTTATTTTTATTAAATTATTATGTCAAGGGTGTTGTGTTATAAGAAATAAAGACAAATGAATTTTTAAATAATAATTTATTCCAAACATAATTTTGTAGAATTGAATTCCTTATTTTAAATTGTAGCATACCAAATATAAAAAATTTATTTGTAAATGAATTTTACTTGGAATTCATTTACAAATTAATTCTACAATCATGATTAATTTGCTCAAAAAGGACTGTTAATCTTTTAAAAATGTAAAAATTATTATTTTGATAGGATAAAAATTGAATTCAATTGATAAAAAATAAAATATTGTTTTAATTTGGTTTTTAAACTTAAAATTAAACTTAGTTAAATATAATTAAAATAATTAAATCAATTTAAAACGAATTGTTTAAAAAAATCTATATTTAGAGTGTAATTAATCTCAAACTTAGGATAATAATAATAATAATAGCAATAATAATAATAATAATAATAATAATAATAATAATAATAATAATAATAAATTTAAAAATAAGGTGAAATTATAACACACGAACGCACGAATAAATAAATATATTGCTCTAAATTCCATTTCTCCCGCATTTTCTTCAATTTGGTCTCCGAAATTACTACCACGAAGACTATAATTCGCGCGCTCTCTGTGTCTCAGTCTCATCGACTCATATCGGACCGAGCTTGCTCTGCAATCAGGTAATAGTTCCTCCAACCCCTAATTTGCCTTCATTGACTGTTTGGTTGATGAGTAAACGCAGGATTCTAATTTCCCCGTTACAGAACGGCGAATTAATTAGGACTAGGTAGCGCAATGAATTTCTTTTTGATGTTCTCCATTTATAGAATGTCTCAGAGTTCATCTGTTTTATATCTTCGAAAGGTATCATTTGGTTGGATTTCATTATAGCAAGAGCTCGATTATCGATACAAGTAAAAGTGACTTTGTTATTAGTTTGGTAATTATTTAGGCATGGAACAAAGCTGAAATCTATCTGTTTGATATTATGCTTGAAAGAAAAAGGGTTGGAGATTGGGCATGTGTTTAACGTTTTGGACTTGATAAAATTTTAGGTGATTCATTGAATTGAATAATTTAGAAAAGAATCTCGAGGTCCGATTTGTTATCATGTGGCTTTAAAACTTTGATTTGTGACTTTTGCAGGTATGGATACATCAAAACCTGCAATTTTTGTCAATGGTGGGCTGTTGCCCATGCATTTGAGGAAGAGGGTCCGAACAGTTGTTCAAGTTCTTGGATCTGATCGTGGATCTGTTATTGGAAAAACTACAGATGATCATCAACTTGTTGTTAAAGGCACCCCGCCATCTGCTGCTCTTACAAATTTTGTTGAGGTTATTGGCATTGCTGAAAGTGACAAGTCGATCCAAGCTGAAATATGGACAAGCTTCGGTGACACATTTGGTATTATACTTATCTTTTTTCCCTTCTGGTCAAGATTTCTCCCTAAACAGTCTGTTGAACCATCTTACATCCCCTGAATTGCTTTTTCTAAGGCAAATGCCTCCCTTGCCTCTTAACTTTTTATTTAAATGTTCAAAGTATTTTTGCAAATTGATGTTTAGGCCTTGTTTGGTATCAATGAATTTCGTAAAATTTTATGGAATTTATTCAGAATTTCATGTTTTCAAGTTTGGTACGAATTTAAATGTTTATTTTACTCCTATATAATTTAATTTCATGGAATTCAATAATGACTAAACAAAATTTTATCATTTAAAAATGAATTCTAGGGGTTAAAGTATTTGAATTTGCAGGATGCACATTATATGCAACTATTACTCTGGTTACTTGCTGAAGCCCAACTATGCAGCCAGAAAAAAAAAAAAAAAATAGTTATACCTCAAATAGAAAAACATTAGTAACAATCAAAAATTAGTTCCCGTTGCTTGTAATTACATTCTAAGATCAAATGTAACCAGGTAGCACTTTCTAGAGATAGATGATTTTATTTTGTTTTCACTCAAGTGTAATAGTTAGCCAGTTGTGAACACTTCTACTGCACACCCACACTCCTCTCTTGCATGCTTTGTGATCAAGCTAGCATTTTATAATGGGAGTAATAAAACTATGCTTGTGATGTGTGTTGAACTTGAAGTTACTTACTGCAGTAATGCTCAGTTTTTGGGCTATCTGATTGTATTTTTCAGTTACATAAACTTTCTGTAAAACTCTTTTCTTACTTTGGCAGATACATATTCCTACAACCAGCTTTGTCAACTTGCAAATGGAGAATATCAATCTTTGTTCCTCTGAGGTGTATTGGCCTTATGCATAGTGGAGTTTTAAGGTACTTTTGGCTCTTGATGTAAGCAGGTGGTAGATGTAGCTGAGGATCTCTTAGTTTTAGTTACTATTTTGAACAGCATTTTGGTCTTTGACTAAAGTTGAGTTATACTTGGACCTCATATTTTGCTCTTTTGGTAAGTTTGTCAGTTTGAAAGTTAACCTTTATCACAGAATATTCGCTAATTAGAGATACTTGCTTCTTATTTTTTGGGGAGACCAACAAGAAACTTTTGCCAAGGCCTCTGGAGTCTAGCCTCTCGTACCTCCAAATGCTAGATTGTATTTAACTTGATTAAGCTAGAAGTATAGACATAAACAAGGACATAATCACTCCTGAGAGCTGTGTTGAATCCTTCAGCTTATCCAACAATGGTTTTAAATGGCCTCATCATGTAGAAGCATAGTTGTCTGTTTGACATTGTAGTTAAACTGTTTTTTGACAAACTGAGTTTGGAATATTTAACGTTTAGCAAATTATGGTTTGGAGAAAGATAGATTTTTTAGCTTTTTTGCCATCGTCATGGAGCGAGTTTCATGCATCCAACCAAAGTAGCCAGCAGATGGACGTGTCCATCATAATTTCATAGTCTGAGCCAGTCATGGTGGGGGTATCAAAATTGGATATGACACGACAACTCGATTCCTCTAACACAGAAATTGAAATGAGTGGATTATGATTGCATTTAAATGAGTTTGTGCTAAAAATAGGTGCCCAATATATAATATGAGTTTAAAAGGATCATGTCATGGAATGACTTGTCTAACTTGATTAATTAGATGTAAAAAAATAATTTTTTAAAAATCTATAATCTATACTATATATAAAAGTGTGAATGAGGGGGAATAATGAGATTGCCGAAATTATCCTTGTGAAATTTAAGATATCTTAAAATAATTTTAATTTTAATCAATTAAAAAATTTTAACTTAAAAATATATATAATATTTCTATAATTTGATTGGCTATTTTTATGGCTTTTTTAATAGATAAATAAATATAGATAATTAAGCATTTTAAATTTTTAAATTTTTACTATTATTATCTTATTGTATCTAATTATATTTTATTTCATTATATTATGTAAATTTAAGATATCCTTAAAAATAATTTTAATTTTTAATCAATTAAAAATTTTTAAACTTAAAAAATAATATATAATATTCTATAATTTTGGATTGGCTATTTTTAATTGGCTTTATTTAAATAGATAAATAAATATAGATAATTAAGCTTTTTAATTTTTAAAAGTTTAAATTTTTACTATTATTATCTTATTGTATCTAATTATATTTTATTTCATTATATTATTATGTAAATTATTAATAATAATTGAATAATTTAATATCATTATTTGTATTTATAATTTAGCTTCAGTATTATTTTTTTAAATAATATATATAAATGAGGCATTTGAAAAGTTTTACATTTTTTTTTTTGAATTTAGTTTAAATAAATATATCTAGATTATTCAGATTTATTTTTAAAAGGGTATAGTTAAATTTCTTTAATTACAAATTTCACTCTAATTTAGTTAGTTAAAAAATAAGATAAAAAATTATTATTTTTAAACATCTAGAATTTTATTAGTTATATTGATATCTTATATAATTCAAATCCTATTTCTATTAAAGAACATAATTTTACTAATAATTCTTTAAAATGCTTTCATGATTTTGATTGGCTTCAAATGATTTGATTGGCTAAAAAAGATAAAAAATAAGAAATTTATTATTATTTATAAATATTTAATTTTTGATTTATTAGATTGTTTTCTTTATTTCCATTATTAAAATATATTTATTTACTACAAAGATTACAGTGAAAGTTATTAAACAAAAACATGTAAATTAATTATAAAACGTATAATAGAATCTATATGATGATTTTAATAATTTGATTTTTCCCTTAAAAAAAAGAAAAATGAAAGCAACAAACCGTATAATAAAATTTGTAATGAATCAGTATATTGACATAAAATCAAAAAAAATATTTACTATATATAAGTGTAATATAATTTAACCCACTCAAATATATAAAGTGTAATATAATTTAACCACTCAATTTAAATAAAAATTTATACTTTAATATTATATAAATAAAAAATTAAACGAGTATAAAGAATAAACATATAACGTGCATAGTCAATGTGCAATGCACGTCATAAAAAAAACTACTATATATAAAAGTACGAACGAGGAGGAACATTGGACATTGATAAATGTTGGACATTCACAAACACATAGATTCTAGATATCCTACATATTGGGGATATTGTATGATTAAGATTGTCCGAGTATCATTCCTACTACTCCATCTGTTCCAAAAAATAGTCCATCTTTTTATTTTTGTCTATCTCAACATATAGTTCACTCACTTTTTTTTATATTATAATTAATCTTTAAATTGTTTACTATGTCTTTATTAAATTTTATTTTATTTTTAATAATCTTCATTAATTCATTACTTTTTTTCAAGCCGGTCTTACTCCAACTCATATGTTATTTAATAAGTAACTTTATTCTTCTATTTTTTTTCTCTTGAATTTTAAAAAGTTATCGATGTTGGTAACCCTCATTAATTGCAATTTATATTTCCTATTACCTCTGTTACATAATACTTATCACATTTGAAATTTCACGTTCTTTAAGAAAATCATAAATTTGTTTAAATTACAATAAATTTTAGAGTAAATTAACTATATTACCCTTAATTTAATATTAATTCTTTAAAAAAATATTAAATTGAAGTAAAAATTATTAGTCATAAATGAAGGGTAAACATAGAAAAAAAAAATTATTACTTCTTGAAACCACAAATGTGATAAGTATTTTAGAACAAACTATTTTATCAAATGTGACAAGTATTATGGAACAAATATAGTATTTTATTCTCAATATGATTTTTATTATTTCAATTTAATAATTATGCATGTATTATTTAAGTAATGTATAATAGGAAGGATATAATAACAAAATTGTTCACTGACCATAACAACTTCAATTTCTTAATTTATATGAAATAAGAGAGTGAACTATCTCTCTGGGACGGGGAGAGTAATATTTTATCCAGGCCAAGCTGAAACTGTTTTTGGCTATTTACTTGGTCCACATTATTCTCACGCTCACTAAAATCTAAAATTTTCTAAAAAAAGAAAAATAGAATGTTGAATAGAGAGTGTGTTAATTAGAATAGGATTGGTAATGATATTTTTATCAATTTATAAACTTAGCAGGGGCATTTTAGGAACCCAATATTCCTCCTTCATTGTACTTTTATATACACTATTCTTCTTTATGACGTGCATTGTACATCGACTATATTCGTTATATGTTCATTCGTTATACTTAGTTTAACTTTTTATTTATATAATATTAAAATATAAATCCTTATTTAGATTGAGTGGTTAAATTATATTAAACTTTATATACAAAGTAAATATTTTTTTGGTTCTTTGTCAACGTACTGATTCATACATTTTTTATTATACGTTAGTTACTTTTATTTTATTTTTTAAGAAAAACCAAATTGATTTATAAAAATCATCATACAGCTTATATTATATGTTTTATAATTAATTTACATGTTTTGTTAATAACTTTCACCGTAATCTCTTATAGTAAATAAATATACAATAATAATGGAATAAGAAAACAATCTAATAAATCAAATTAAATATTTATAAATAATAATATTTTCTTATTTTTTACTTTTTTAGCCAATCAAAATCATGAAAGCATTAGCCAATCAAAATCATGAAAGCATTTTAAAGAATTATTAGTAAAATTATGTTCTTTAATAGAAATAGGATTTGAATTATATAAGATATCAATATAACTAATTAAATTCTAGATGTTTAAAAATAATAATTTTTTATCTTATTTTTTGACTAACTAAATTATTGTGCAATTTGTAATTAAAGAAATTTAACTATACCTTTTTAAAATAAAACTGAATAATCTAAATATATTTATTTAAACTAAACTCAAAAAAAATGTAAAACTTTTCAAATGCCTCATTTATATATAGTATTTACATATATTATTTAAAATAATAATGCTGAAACTAAATTATAAATTATAAATAATAATAAATTTTTAAAAAATATTAAATTATTATTAATAATTTACATAATAATATAAGGAAATAAAATATAGTTAGACATAATAAGATAATAATGGTAAAAATTTAAAATTTTGAAACGCTTAAATATTTATATATATTATCTATTAAAAAATCAAAAAAACATCCAATCAAATTATAGAAGTATTATATATATTTTTAGATTAAATTTTTTAGGTTAAAATTTTTTAATTGGTTAATACTAATGTTATTTTAGGATATCTTAAATTTTAAAAGGACAACATTGGTAATCTCATTTTTTCCTCTCTATTCTCACTTTTATATATAGTACTAGTCTTCTGTATGACGTGCGTTGCACATTGACTAAACTCATTATATACTCATTATATACATCTATCATAAATTTTGTTTAGATTAAAATAAATAAAAATGGTTAATTTGTATTATATTTTACCGTACAAATTACTGGCAATGCTATTTATTATGTACTTAATTTTATTTTTATATAATGAAGTGATTTTAAAATAAAGTTCAATGCATCCTTAGACCAAATCCTTTAGTCTATAATTTATAAATGCAGATTTTTAAACCCTAATATGTGCTCAAAAAGAAAATCAAGTCAGCACTCATTCTCCAACTCCCTATTCTCAACTCCAAATCAATATCTATATACAACTATAATGAATAATAATAATAAATTATTTTTACTGTTAGGTCAAAGAAAATAATGAGAAAATGATCTGAATTGATAATGGAAACCACTTTCACTACAGTGACAATATTATTTACCTAGCGTATCAGAGAAAAGAGTATATACACATATATACAAATTCTTTAAACCCAAAAAGTGACAAAAATAGAAATATATAGTTCTAGTTTTTTTTTTTTTCAGTTTCCTAAATATTGTTTTCTTTTAAGTCAAACAGATTTAGGATATAAGAGAAAAAAATATTAAGAAAATAAAAAATATTAAGAAAATTAAAAAAATATTAAGAAAATTAAAAATGTTTAACCATCAATAGGCCATCTATTTATTGCAAAAGAGATATAAATCTCTTACTAAATTAAAATGATGTGCCGAAATAACACTTTGGGCTACATAATAATCAAATCGGTGAAAACACTTGTGATCGAGAGGATTCAAACTCGAAACGTCTCACTTCTCACATAAGTAAGAAGATAATTAGGTTGCACATGATTGATTGAAAAAATAATTTTTATAAATTATATCCAATCGACTAATAAAGTGTAATTTTTTTAATTGACCGTCATTAAGGGTACTTTAGAATATTTTAAATTTAATTAAGGGTAATATAGAAAATCTCATTATTTCCCCCTTATTCCTACTTTTATATATAATACTAGTATTTTGTATAACGTGCGTTGCATGTTGACTATGCTCATTTTTTATATATATAATATTAAATCATAAGTTTTGTTTATATTAAAATAAATATAAGTGCTTAATTTGTATTATATTCTGCCGTACAAACTACTTGCAATACTACTTATTATGTACTTAATTCTATTTTTATATGATGAAGTGATCTTAGAATAAAGTTTAACTCAATTATTAGACCTAATATTTTAGTTCATAATTTACAAATACAGATTTTTAAAACCCTAGGTGCTTAAAAAGAAAATCAAGTCATCACTTAATCTCCAACTCCCTGCCTCAATCTTAAATCAATATCTATATACAACTATAATGAATAATAATAATAAATTATTTTTCCTGCCAGGTAAAAGAAAAGAAACGAGAATATAATCTGAATTGATAATGAAAATCACTTTGATTACAGTGACAGTATTGCATCCAGTGTATCAGAAAAAAAAATATGCATATACATATAAATTTTTGAAACCCAAAAAGTGACCCACATAGAAATATATAGTTATAGTGTTTTTTACAGTTTCCTAAAAACTATTTTCTTTTAAGTCAAAAGGATTCAGGATATAAGAAAAAAAAATTAAAAATACTTAACCATCCATCAATAGAGCATCTATTTATTACAAGAGAGATATAAATCTCTTACTAACTTAAATTGATAATAGTTACAAATTATTCAGTATCGAAAAAGAAAATAAAAAAAATATTATTAAAAATAAAACTTTTTCAAAACTCACCTAACAAAAAAAAGAAACAATGTATATAGATATGCAAATATATCAATAAAATATTATATTTTTTTAAATTAAAATTTTAATTGTTTACTTTTCCATGTTTAATTATGTAAATTCTATTTAATTCCCCCCATGTTTAATTATGTAAATTCTATTTTAAAAAAATTTACTTTTAAAAAAAAGATCCAATCAAATATGACAAATATAAAGAACAAAAATATTAATAAAAATAAATATCTTTTCTTCTTTTTTTTATCCTCTCTTTCCTAAAATAAAATATTTAATATTCCTATTTAAAATTTATTTTTAAAAAATATATCCAATCATATCAATATAAACTAAAGGAAAAAAGAATATTAATAAAATAAACTAATTTTCTTTTCTTTTTTATCCTTATATCCACTAATATTAAAATATTTAATAAGTAAAATAATAATCTCCATTATCGATATACATTCATAATTAAATTTATTAAATAGAACTTAAAACCTTTTGAAAATACTTAATTTTATATATATGTGTGTGTTGTGGGGGGGGGGGGGGGGGGGGGGGGGGTTTGTTATATATTTTATTTTGGATTCATCCAGGAAGGTCTGAATGAGCCAGAAATAATTACTGCGAGTTACACAAATCATATTGGTAACTCCACCTAACAAAAAAAAAAAAAACAATTTCAATGTATAAGATTATAAATAAATTAATAAAATATTTATTTTTTTAAATTAAAATTTTCAAAACCTGTGTTACCATGTTTAATTATGTAAATTTTATTTGAAAAATTTACTTTTTAAAAAAATATATCCAATCAAATCTTACAACTCACAAAGAAACAAAATTATATAAAAATAATATACTTTTTCTTCCTTTTTATCTTCTTCTCCTAAATAAAAATAATATGTATTCTATTTGAAAAATTTTATTCCCTTTTTTTAAAAAAATCCCAATCATATCAATAAACCCAAACATAAAGAAACAATATTTTTCTTTCTTTTTTATATATTTCCTAAAAGAAATTAAATATTTAATGAATAACTAAAAATTTTTTTAAAATATCTCATTAATCAATATATATTCATTAAAATAAAATAAATTTATAAAATAAATTTAATAAAGATAAAACTTAAAATTTTGAAATGTTTAATTATTTATATGTATTTATTTTAAAAATAATTTTTTTATTTATTATGAGGCCTGATGCCCGAAATAACACTGTGGGCTACAGAATAATCAAATTGGTGAAAAACACTTGTGATCGAAAGGACTCGAACTCGAGACCTTTCACTCTTCACATAAATGAGAAGACAATCAAATCGCACATGATTTACTTAAAAAATAATTTTTATAAATTATATCCAATCAACTAATAAATTGTAATTTTTAATTGGCTATCATTAAAGGTATTTTAGAATAATTTAAATTTCATTAAGGGTAATATAGAAAATTTCATTATTCCTCCTATTCTCATATTTATATACAGTATAGATAGATAAATTATAGATAGATAGATACAGATTGATAAATGTAAATGTATAAATAATGGGTTAATAACAACCGCACGAGTTGTCGGACTAGTGTAAATAAATTGAATTTCAAAAAAATTTTCTTTCCACTATTTATTCTTGATTTTTATTATGTTTTACTTAAAGTGTTTTTTATTTAGTTTTTATTTTCTATTGATTTTTTATTTTTATAATATTACCTCTATTCCATAATATTTGTCATATTTAGAATTTCACGTCCCTTAAGAAAATTATTAAATTTATCTAAATTATAATAAATTATTATTAAATTGACTATATTATCCTTAATGTAATATTGACTATATTATCCTTAAATGTAATACTAATCCTTTAAAAAAAATTAAATTAAATTGAAGTAATAATTATTGGGTTATAAACAAAAAGAATAAATTTATCTAAATTATAATAAATTATTATTAAATTGACTATATTATCCTTAATGTAATACTAATTCTTTAAAAAAAATTATTAAATTGAAGTAATAATTATTGGTTATAAACAAAAGATAAACACGGCTAAAAAATATTTATTACTTTTTGAAATTATAAATTTGACAAATATTTTGGAACAAACGATTTTCTCAAATGTGATAAGTGTTATGGAAAAGATGTAGTTATTAACCAAATAAAATTTTATCATATTCTATTTGTTTGTTAAAAAATGGTAGAAAGATAAAAAAGGTGACTAAAAAAAATATTATAGACTCACAAAAATAAAAAATAAAGCTAAAAAAATGAATTTAGCTAGAAAACTATAATATTTACACTAATTCATATCATGAACAGTTTATTTGGTAAGTATGGTTAAAAAAAACACCGTATATTTAAAATTATAAACTAATAATATCATTTAATTTATTTGGCACTATTTATCTTATAATAAATAAATTATGTAAATTAATATTTTAATGTATAAATAAATAAATCAATATTTTAATGTATAAAAAATAAATAATTTAATTTAAATATTATATTACTTAATATTATAAATAAATTAGTCAAAATATAAACAACGGATAAGAAACTGAGTAATAAGAACAAGGCACGTATAGAACTTCGAAAAAAAAAACACTGTTCGTTTTGGACCGTTAGATCAGGATCAGAACAGGCACGCACGACGATTCCCTCCATGTATAGTCTATTATCAAAGCCAAGGCCCGCGAAAGAAGAAAGAGGCGAAAGGGTCCGGAGACAGCACTGGGAAAATTAGGGTTTTGTTGAAGAACAATCGAATTACCTTCTCTGCTAGGGTTTTGCTCGATTTAACATCGCAAACCAGGTATTTCTCTATCTGTAAATAATCATTGTTGTATTTGATCCTGTAATTATTAGTTCCATTCGTCTTCCCGTCTAAATCGTGCTAAAATTTTATACGATAGGGAGCTGAAAAATCCAATTAGTTGAGTAGTTTGGTTCTCTTTTACTTAGATTGGAGCGTGTTTTAGGCTATAGGTTAATGTTTCACTTATGCATCCTTTCTGGGCAAAGCCGGTAGGTTCATGTGATAATTAGAGGTTAAGCTTATGGTTGTTGGGTTAATCTTATTGATTGACAATCTTATGAAGCAAGTAACTGCTCGATTATTTATTGGTTATTATTTTGGAAGTACCTCTGTTTCTATGAGAGCTGGAAAAATGTGAATTTTATGTATAATTAATTTAATGCTAGTTCTTTGTGTTATTAATTTAAGGAAAAATCAATGTTGGATAAAAAATGTTTGTGATTGGGAATTGAATGAGGTTGAGGAGGATTATTAATGTATTCATAGTTGAATACGTATTATAGTTATAGATTGCGCTTCTCAAGTCAGGTAGAAGCAAAACTTTCTGAAAACAAATTACCCTGCTTCAGGGACAATGGTCAGGGAAATTTTGAGCTTACAGCATCTTACAATTCATGTGATCATGTAGTTTTTTCTTTTTAAGTTTTCCTCAAGATGAATGGATTGGAAAATAAGTTAACAGTGTGTTAGATATAATTTGGATACCCAAATTGATTACATTTGCTCTTGAAATGTTAATGTAGAACAAAGGTTCAAACAATATTTTCTCGGACCAATATGTTGCTTCCATCTTTCTTTTACATTTGCGTTTTATTGATTATGAATTTTAAGTGTGTGCATTTGTCATGGCTTGTTTTATTACTGTATGTTAAAACTACTGCTTTGTAACCCCAATCACATATATCAAGTTCTCATTTCGTGTGTTTTTCCTTTGTCTTTTTGCCTTTCTTTTTGGTGGATGCATTTTCCAGATAGATAGTAAAACAATCATCTGGCTATTGTTTTTGGACTACTGCCAGTATCTAAATTTCAACAAATTCACTACTTCATTATAGTTATATTTTTTCACCTGCTGAGTATCATCATCCTCTTGATTATCATTCGTGATTCTCTCTGCCTGTCTCTATAGCAATTGTTACTTTTATCATAACCCTTGGTTGTTATCATTCACATTGCAACTCCTTGGATCCATATTCTTATGGCAAAAGTTCAGTTGAGATTCTTACTCTGCAACTCCATTTGGCCTCTCATTTTGTTTCCACCTTTCCATACTTGTACTCTTCCTTCTGTGAATGCTTCTGGCTTCTGTGCTTCATTCACAGTTGCCTCGCAAGCTTCTTTGCTTAGACACATACGATGCCGAGGACAAGTGGAAGTGCTGTTGATGCTGATAAACCAGATGAATCTGAAAATCTTGCGGAATCTGAAGAAGGGGTTGACCTTGATGGTGATAATGAAGCAGAGGAGACAATGGAAGAAGAGGTTGAATATGAAGAGGTAGAGGAAGAGGAGGAAGTGGAGGAGATAGAAGAAGAGGAAGAGGTAGAAGAGGAGGTGGAGGAAGAGGAAGAAATTGAGGAGGGTGCTAATGAGGCTGATGAACAAAAACACTCAGACAATGAAGATGACAAACAAAAGCATGCTGAGCTTCTTGCACTCCCTCCTCATGGATCAGAGGTATACCTTGGTGGCCTTCCCCATGATGCTACTGAAGAGGATCTCAAGAGATTTTGCGAATCCATAGGAGAAGTCACAGAAGTGAGTAATGTTGTCATTATAAATGCTCTGCCTTATGGTTCTTATTTAGATGGACTAAATCTCTGCATATACTGAGAGCAGGTAAGGATAATGAAGGGCAAAGATTCAGGTGAGGCCAAAGGTTATGCTTTTGTGACCTTCAGATCAAAGGAGCTAGCCTCCAAGGCCATTGAAGAGCTGAACAATACTGAGCTTAAGGTATCAAATTCAAAGTGTTGTTTTCTTTTCCCGTCAAATAATCTCAGGGACAGAGGCAATTTCAGCTCTATCCTGGAAACACTACATCTCATTTGCTTGCATTATTTCCTTATTTATTCTGTTTGAGGAACACTCAGATTTTGTGGGAGAACTCTGGAGTTTCTGAGTTCTGGTAGTTTACCTTTCTTTTAATGCGAGTTTCTTTTTACAGGGGAAGAAGATAAGATGTTCAACATCTCAAGCAAATCATCGGTTGTTTATCGGCAATGTTCCAAGAAGCTGGGAAGAGGAAGATATGAAGAAGGTTGTACAAAAGATTGGTCCGGGGGTAATTTCTGTGGAATTATTGAAGGTTTGTGTGCTTTATCTAGACTCTTGCATAGATGGATATAATCTTTCAAGTATAATATTCATCTTCATTCCTAAAGTGCGTTGAATTGTTGGGTTATTTATTTCACTTCTTAATGCTTATAGGATCCACAGAACTCTAGCAGGAACCGTGGATTTGCTTTCATCGAGTATTACAATCATTCTTGTGCAGAATACTCTAGAAAAAAGATGTCAAACCCTAAATTTAAACTTGATGATAATGCTCCGACAGTGAGTTGGGCTGACCCTAAAAATGCTGGATCTTCAGCTGCTTCTCAGGTCTTTCTTTTTGTAATTTGTCTTCCATACTATTGTTTTGTCTTGGGTTATCTTTGCATTGAAATGCTATGAAGCTGATGTAGTTGAAGTGCTTCTTCTTTTGCCTGTGTTGCGTTCTCTGTATCAATGCAAATACTTGTGTTGTCCTTTGTGTCTGTTTTGCAGCTTGCATCTTTAAAATAATTGAGTATTTACCCAATAGAATTGAAGGTGAATCATGCCTTGGAATTGGAATCATTGTTTTTTCTTTCTTAATTTATAAAGAAAATTATTTATGTATTTCTATGTTTCTTCCCTCCAGATAAGATGGTTATTTTATGTGGGACTTTCTGGCATTGCATTTTTGCTTTTTGTTATTCTTTATTTTGAAATGTTCTTGATTGTTTCCTACATCTGATACAGGTTAAGGCAGTTTATGTCAAGAACTTGCCAAAAGATATTACTCAGGATCGCTTAAGGCAGCTTTTTGAACGCCATGGAAAAGTGACTAAAGTGGTTCTCCCTCCTGCAAAAGCAGGCCATGAGAAGAGCAGATTTGGTTTTGTGCACTTTGCAGAGAGGTCGAGTGCTATGAAGGCATTGAAGAACACTGAGAAATATGAAATTGATGGTAATTTGCTCCCGTCTTTACCATCTTTCTATTTTGCTGATGAGCTGATATGGTTGGAATTGGATTTTAATTAGTTCTTCTCTTGGCAGGCCAAGTTTTGGATTGCTCCCTTGCAAAGCCTCAAGCAGATCAGAAGTCTTCTGGAGGGCCAAATTCACAGAAATCTGTCTTGCATCCAACATTCCCGCCTCGTCTTGGTTATGGTGTAGTTGAAGGTACCTATGGTGCTTTAGGTGGATATGGTGCTGCTGGCTTTGCACAAGTGAGGAGCTTCTCTCTCTCTCTCTCTCACACACACAAAAAAGTCTTGAGTTATTCCACCTTTAACTTTTCAGATAGTTCTAAGGAGTTTTGAACTTATGTCCTGCTTTTGTTCATTATATTCAAGCAGTGGTATTAGAATCCTATGATTCGAGTTGATTTTCATGGTCGCCTATACAAATCTTGTGGGGAGCTGGAATTGAGCACGAATCATGGATGAATTGTCTGAACCAGTAGATACAAATGATTTGGAAACCAATGAAAAAAATGAAAAGAAAAAACTGAATCAGTATATTATTTTTAATTGATTTTATGAAGTATATAATGAACCTTCAATTTGATTTGATTCTTCCCTTGGTTCTCTATTCAGAAACTTAGGATTTCGATTCTTGATTGAATCTTGATGACCATGCTATCAAGAACTTGTGCTACTAACCTCATCAAATGTTCTAGTTGATTATTTGGTTCAAAATCTGTATCTGGTAGATCAGACATTTTTGAATTTGACAGGTTGAATTAGGCCTTGATCTCATTTACTCCAGGAATCCGGACTGCGTCAATGGCATTATATGTTTTCTTTTCTCTCCCTTGAGTCCCTTCTAACTCGTTATTGCTGAAGTTGCTATAAATTGAATAATTTCAATGCCGTAATTTCCTTTTTCTTGCATCAGCATGCACTCTTTGTTAGTGAAGACCTACATTACTTGGTTGTGTTCAATATGGGAAATGCGCTGGTGTTGAAGTTGTACGTTTTTCATAATTTTAATAGCAGTAGATTATCCCAGTGAGTGTGAAGTGTTATAGTATCGTGCTTATGTCTTAATATCTTTTATCCAACACAGGTATTTGAATGTGAAGCATAAAAATATTATTAAGTGTTTGTGATTATAACTTATTGATGTTTTTGCACAATCATGCAGCCAATGATCTATGGTAGGGGACCGACTCCTACTGGTATGGCAATGATGCCAATGCTTTTACCTGATGGAAGGATTGGATATGTCTTGTAAGTACCATTTTCCTATATTTATCCTGAGAGAAAATCATGCTTCCATGTGTCTTATTTTTTGATACAGACCTAATGTTCAGAAATTAGAACGCCCATCCTTTTTCCTGGCATCCGGCAATCCTTACCCATACAATTTCTGTGTATAATACAAAATTTATGTCTGTGCATGCTTGTTTTCTTCTTTCGAGACTTAAATTTGAAAATATGCAGAAAAGCCCTTAGACTGCATTCAACCGTTTTATGTCCATCCAAAACGAATCATTGAACTTGTTACATTGGTTGAAAGATTCTCTCTGACCAGATCTGCTAGCTCTAGCCAGTCTGGTTCATTTTCCTGCTTTTATAGTTTTGGTCTTTTTTAACTCTGGAGGAAGGTTGATTGCAAACAATTTATTTTAATTTATTTTGCTAACAGGCAACAGCCTGGAATGCAACAACACACACCTCCACCACAGCCTCGGACTGGCAGGGGTGGTGGAGCTGGTAGCTCAAGTGGTGGAAGACGTAGCAATGAGAGTGGTCGTGGACGCAGCCGGTATAACCCATACTAATTAGATTGTCTTTTAGTACTGAAACTGCTTGAGGAAAATGTTTGTTATTTTGACCATTGAATAATGTTTCATCTGGTCCAACATGAAGAGTGCTTTCTACATATTAGCGGAGCCTAATGCGCTGCAATCAAACTAAAAAACTAGTATGGAGGCGAGCAGATGTACTAACAAGCAATGGCCCTTGCACAGCTCAACTGATTGCTTATTTGCTTTCAGGACAGAACTCCTGGATAGTAGTCTGTGAAGGCTAAATTGTACTTGTGTAAACTGATTGAATTTTTATTTGTGCCAACAAAGTCGATGAGAACTAGTTTTTGCAATATTGGTTACAGTAAATATCAAATTTTGTTTCAATGTTTGCTCTGGATTAAATCTTCAACCTTGTTATAAACTTCTAAATATTTGGTTGCTTTTGCGTAATAAATGCATCTGAATATTACTGGAGTCGTGCAATTTTGGAATGTAAATCACCTGAAATTTTGGCAAAACTGTATGTTTCATGTGTACTTCATGCATAACTTCAGACTCGTCAAATTTACTCAGCTGAGATGCTAAAGGAAAAACATCAATCAAGTACACTATCATCTGAGATGGAATATATGAGATAATAGAAAATACACTATTATCTGAAACATAATTTGCAACAGGTACCTGTGTAGCGCTAAAGATCATATGAAAGGGATCTTAAACTTAAGATCCTCAAAAGGTTACAATTTAGGTTGTCTGGACTACATTACTGCTATTCTGAAGGCATAAATTCACTTCCAAATATTGAATTAACTTTGAATATGCTTCATGTACACTGAATCCTCGCTGCGTCGTGCATGCTTGTGCAAAGACTCCTGATTAATAATTAATTTGTTTAGACACGGGCGCTCGATATCTGCTAAACACATCAACAGGACAGTAAATCAATGCTTACAAAAAAGTTACATTATGATTTGCAGGATTCCAACTAAGTACATCAATGAATAATCTAAAGCTTTTAGCACAAAGCAAAAATGTTTTTATCCAATAAAAATATTGGTAATTAGAAATAGGTTGATCACCCTGAGGTTGGCAACCAAAGAATTACAGAACGACAATCATTCAGACACTCTGATTTTCCTCACACCACGATTTGCATCCATAGAAGCACCAAACATCATACAATTGTATATTTCACCTTTTGACTTTTTGTATAAAATGTTCACAATTTAAAACTGGCATAGATTTAAAACATTTCACAGTTTTTGTAGTATAATTGGCAGTGTCACAGAAAGACATGTTAACCATCTTCATGTAATATAGCCTGTGTAAAGTTCCTAAGCATAATTACATGACTCCATGAGCTATAACGTAAACAAAATATCATCAGGGTTCACTCAGTGCAATAAAGTAGATGCGAGAAGAGAACAATAATGAATAAGCATCATAAATGCTAAATTTGAACATACTCTGGTGTTTTTCAGATGAAGGTTGAGAGGTCTTCAGGCGGTTCAATCCAGATGTTCTCAAAAGGGTCTTGCTCTCCCCAGTCATGACACTGCTTACGAGGATAGTATCTACAATTATCAAGTGAGTATGATATGCATCGCTTTCCAAAGAAACGAACTTTAGAGAAGTAGATACTGTTTCTCATTATTCCAGGGAGATCAATTCTTGAATGAGATGATAAGAAACTGGCAAATAGTGTTAAACCATCAAGTGTCTTCATCTCTTCCCATATCATATTTGATTGGTTCAACTTAAATATAATTGGGTTTTCACTACAACATGTATAAATAACTAAAATGTCTCCATTATGCTCTGACATAAATTTTCCTTTCCACCAATTTTTAGCAAAAAAATTTTCAGGGCACTTAGGTGGAGGCACAACAAGAACATTCCACGTACATTCAGTCGGGTCAAATACACCTAGCCAGCCTGTGAGACTTAGGCAGTAAAAGAGTCCACTGCAAAAAACTATCTTGTTCCAAATACTACTAACAAAAGGCAAGCGATTTTGGTAATTAACAGTAACCCACTCAGTTGCACCAGGATGACAGGTGCTGATAGCAACAACTGTAGGACTGATATGCTTAACTGTAAAAATGACGCAGCTAGTAGATGTTGGGGAAGAAGAGAAGGCAACTATCTGATATGTCAATTCAAACCTTGGCAGTTTGATCACTTCCTTAGTAAATGGATTAAAGAAGAAAACTCGGTGAGTTCTGGGTCTGTACAGCAACAACCAACCATCTTTAGTGTAACAGACTCTTGACCCATACAACTCTGGTAACTCAAGGGAATAGGTCTTGCGCTGTGCTGGGTCATAGAACTCATACAAATTACCATATTTTGGAAAATACATAAGCCAGGGTGATTGGTTTACCACTCTGACAGAAATAGCAGCTGTGTGCCATCTCTTGCAAACAACAGAGGTGCGAATGTTATCCTCTAGAGATAAATGACAAAATATTAGTTCCAGAAGTTCCATAGGAAGGTCAGACCAAGCTTGTAGCTCCAGCTTCTCTCTCTTATTTTTGGTTGTCACCCTTTTATTATCCGTGGCTGCTGCAACCAACCTAAACAGGAAGAAAGCCCATGACTATAAAATGTTAAACTGACCACTTAAGTATTTTAAATAAATATTTTTAAATTCAGTTTGGACACAAATCAACATCTCCAAGTTCTTGGTGAATTCAAGAGAAAAGCCAAAGAAAAGTCTGCAACTGTGGTAACCTATGAAAATGCATTTGAGTGCAAAACATATTTGGAATTTTGCAGTTAGAGCACATCAAAATTTGTTCATTTAGCCACCTATGAAATGCACTTGAGTGCAAAACATATTTGGAATTTTACAGTTAGAGCTAACCAAAATTTGTTCATTACACTTCACTCCCAATAAAAATAGGGAAAAAAAAATTGAGTCCCTATGTTTTGGCCTAATTAATACTTAAGGATCTCTATTTCCAAAACATAACTATGAGGTCCCTAAATTTTAACTCCGTTAACAGTTTCATCCTTCCATCCAAAACATCCACTTTTAACCATCAAATCAATATGTAAGTACGAAAATGCCCTCATCTACAAGGCTCTTAAATGGCTTCAAAGGCTGACATACATTAATGCCATTGTTTATCCTTTTACATCACTTATCTCATTGCATACTGTGTACTCCTCTCAATCTGTCTCCTCACAAGGAAATTCATCATACCAACAATAAATCTCTAGAATCTTAGTCCATTCTGTCCTCTTGCATATGGGTTTTGGACGGGACTACTCTTGTATTTCTTGAATCCTCCATAGATTTTTTTTTGTTTTACGAATATATAGCAGTGGTATGAAAGAGACAATAGAAACAATCTTTTTCCTTGCTTTCGTGGTGGGTCTCTAATGATGGTCTAACACTTGCATATGGGAAATTGAAATGGGACATAAAAGAAATAAAAGACTCGCAAATACTGGGAGAGAGATGCTTGGTGTATGATCCACACCAAATGTCGAAGCTATCATTTGATTTGTGAAATCTGAGTGCAGAATCTGATTATCACAATTTTGTGAATTTTTGACAGTGAAGCTGCCGACGAAGGTGGAGAAGATGAATCAGGTTAGGCTGCTGACATTGTTGTACTTGGGGTGTTTATTGGGATTTAAATTTTCTCTCTCTCATTGGACTCACCTAAATTGCTAAGACTAACAGAAAAAGTATGTAATTTTGCACGGAAGGATGTAGCAGTTGACGGAATCAAAATTTAAGGACTTTGTAATTGCTTTTTAGAAATGGAGGTCTTCAAGTGTTAACTAGGCCAAAACTCAGGGATTCTATTATTTTTTTCCCATAAAAATAAGAACAACAAAAGGAATTCTATAACAACTAAGAAAAACTGAAACTCTCTAGAATCAGTATTGAATTTGGAATCAAGTTTAGAAAGCAATCCATAAGTGGCAATTCATTCATTTAGGACACAACCACCACAACAAATCCCCTTACAAGAGACCATGAAACAGAATACCAAATCTGTGCTGATAAAGTAAGTCACATAAGCAAAATATCCTATGAAAAGAAACAAGATGTCAAGATATAAATTCGTAAAAACTCCCAACCCACAAACAATCACACTTTTCAATGCTTAACATACAAGTTGAAATTCATACTTCAACAGCTCATCCAAACTCATTGAAATAAAAAATAGCTCGTACCCCCTAACACTGAACCAAAAAGGAAGGGAGAGAAAAATTTAAAAAGAAAAAGGCACGAAATAAATACGAGAAAAAACCACGGGAAATTACAGCATTCGAAATTGACTCCAGAATTCAAATTTACAAATTTATAACCGAATTCTTTCAACTCCCTCTCTTAAATCCAGATCATCATTACGAAATAGCAGTCACACAGTAAAACCCATTTACAAACACCTATGAAAATGTCTAATTTTGGTCCCAATTTCCCATAATTCAGCTTCCTTAACAGCTAAAATACACAAAAGGCATGCATCATACGAAAACCCCATTTCACAAAACCTAGAAAAGCCCCCTCAAAAGAATAATTCAATGAAACCCTAAGTTAAAGCAAATTGAACTGAAAGCAAACAAGAAAGATAGCTACAAATTTTCCAATTCAAGTTGAAAAAAGAAGAAAACCCACTTACGAATTCAACTTTCTTCTCTTCCTGCCTGCCATTTTTGGACCCAAATGAAGCAATTCAACCCACTTAACAGAAAAAAAAAAAATAAGAGAGAGATTGCAATTCAGAAAGTTAGAAAATGGAGGATGCACGTGTAAGTCTATTCCGATCTACTGTGTCGCCTCACACGGTATTGCATTGATTGTGCAGTAACATTCTCGACGTGGCGAGCTTTGAATGGATGATTAATGAAGAAAAACTGAAGATTTTCACATGGAATGAGGACACAGGACATCGTAAAGTGAAAAGACTGCGTTTAGAAACTTGTTTAACACATGGGTCATAATGTAGTCAACTTTTACTCGAAGGTGTGCATATATGGGCTACAGTTTGTTTCTTTCTTACATTTTTTTTTATAATTCTATTTTTCTCACTATGAAATTTGTTTAATTTATTTAATTTAAGGGAAAATAATTAATTAGCCCATAAATTTTGACCAAACTAATTAACTCGTCTTCGTATTTTATCAATATTAATTAAGAGTCTTTAAATATTTAATTGCGGTAAAATATTAAGTCATTCCATTCACTTGTCTATTATTTTACAGTTAAAATATGTGAAAGACAAAAATAAGTTCACAGTTATATAGAATAAGACGATAATACCTTGGGTATTATACATTCTACCATAATCTCTCTTATCCAGGAAAAAAAACAGCAAAAATACAAAACAAATCACTTTGGTATCTTTTTGTTAAGATTACTTCTAAAAACAGCGGATAATCTTTGTGGTTATATGGTAGTTTCGAGTTATTTGTGCAGAAAAGAAATGATTGAAACAAGAGTGATGGCAAGTGCCTGAAAAAATTATAGGTGGGTTAGCGGAACGGTGGAAGTTGTGCGGATTTTTCAGGGAAAAAGAGAGGAAGGCCAAGAAAATACGATTCAGAAGGAAACCTACGATTATAACCATTTCATCAACCATTAAACTCACCACATGGCTTTTCTTTCTTTCACCGATGGCGCCGCCTTCTGACGGTTCTAAAAGAGGTTAAGGTAGGCCTGCTGGCTCCAGTAACTGGCAGCTTCTTACTTCTTTAGGTGAGTTTAAAGAAACCAAGAAATTGAAAAAGGATAAAGAAAAAAAAGAAAGCTTTCGGCTTGCTTCTTTTTTCTTTTGGTGGTTCTGTGAGTGGTGATTGGTTGCCGAGAAAAGAAGTTAATTAAGTATGATGATTTTTATTTATTGTGATTGGTTGCCGAGAAAAGAAGTTAATTAAGTATGATGATTTTTATTTATTACAATTTTCCTTTTATTTGAAACAAAAGGCAAAGGGAACAATTCAAACCTGCCAACTTTTTATGTTATTTTATTTTATTTTTTTTGTTAAAAGAATTCCCCATAATTTTCTTACCCATCAATTCACTATCATCCAATTATGACCTTGCTGGGTTTTTGGGTCTATAAAGACTTGTTAGAATGGAAGTCTCTGCCATTGTTGTCGCTACTTGAGCTTCCTTTGAGTTTTTCCAGACCTCTAAATAATTGTTACGGCGAGGTAACTTAGGCTATTATCGTCTTCTTTTTATATAATTATGAGGCTATTTTCATTTTTTCTCACATTTTAACAGCAAAATGATGAAAAAGTGGATGGAAAAACATGATAGGTTAACGGAATTAAACTTTGAGTACTCTTAATTAATGTTAATAAAATATGTGGACGAATTAATTAATTTGATCAAATTTCAAAGACTAATTAATTATTTTCCCATAATTTAATTGATAAAAACCTTAACTATAAATACCTTACCATCAAACAAAAGCTTTATTAATGATTGTGATTGTCATATGATCCAAATCGAGACCGGACCAACATACAACTAGATTGAAGCCTAACTACATAAGTGTCCGTTAATTTAGTAGCTATGCTCAAGAATAGAACAATATATCCAAAAATACAAATTTGAAAAGAAATTTTCTCAATACAACATTCCACAACTTAGTCATTTTACGTATTTAGGCCTAAGTCCAACTCTATAAAAATGGAAACCACCTAAATGACTCGACTTAAAATAAGCGAAAAAGTCTCATTCAAATTTAGAAAAATCTGCAAAACTGAAATCGTACATGGATGAGCAACTTAGATATGTTCAGTTAGAATTATACACGAAGAGAAAATCCTGACAGCTTAATATATGTAGTAATAAATATCAATACATGCATGCATGATAGTAAGTGCGATACGCACATCATAACATAATCTTTTCATAATTATAAGGGCATTCACTGTCACCATTTCATTCACCATAACTCGCCTTATAAAGTAATTACAATTATTCATTATCATGACTCATGTCATAAACCAATCACATATAATTATCATGAATATTATAATCGTATTCTTATATTTTGTTAAAAAAAATTACTTTACCTTTATTTTTTTAAAAATAGACTGTTATACCCTTACATTTTGAATCCGTTAATTTACATTGTCTTTTCCATCCCCCTAATCCTTCAATAAAAATAATAAATTAGGCTTTTGGTATAGTAATCTATTATCACCTCATGTTAATTTGATTTTGAATTGAATTTGGGAGAAAAGATATAAAATGATTGAATCATCCCGAACGACCAGTTGATAAAAAAATTTTCTAGCTAGATTCTTGTTATTAATTAACATATCAATTTTTGTTTTATTCATTTTTGAACATTTTTCAGAAGATAAGTTTTCTAAATAGTATGACACTAGGAGTTGTGTTCTTGAAGCTGTGGATAAGCTGCTTTGTTTTATGAGAGAGAAAGAAAGGGAGAGGAAGGGAAGAGTTGCAGATTTGTTTGATGAGAGAGAAAGAGAGGGAGAGGAAGAGGAAGACGGTATTTTGGTGATAATTTTTCTCTCTTTCTTTGGACTGTTAGATTTTCCTTTGACTTATACTCTAAAATTATAAAAAATGGATAAAAGGGCAATGTAGTATAATGGACTCAACATGAAAGGGTATGACAGTGTATTTTTCAAACGACAAGTGTGAATTAAATTTTTTTCTACAAAATATAAGGATACAATTATAATTTATATTGAATTTAAATTTTTTCTACAAAATATAGGATACCAATTATAATTTGTGTGTTATATATATATATAGTTGTGTATATATTATTTATATTATATATAATTATATAGTAGTATATAAGGTATAGTATGTATTATATAGTTAATTATATATACTATATACTCAAGAATTGTTATGAGATGTAATGTCCTCTAATGGGATATAATACAAATATTTATAGTGTTCTTCCTATTGTAACTGGATGTAAATACCTAGCAAGAATTCTGGTAATAAATGTTAAGTGAGAATCTTAGACATTAATTACGTGATTAAATGATTCTTAATAACTCTTTGACTGAACATTATCTTTATTTGAACTGGTTTGACTAATGCTCGATCCATTCTATTAATTGCTCAGCATATTCTATTAACTGTTTGGACCATTATGTTGATCAACACATTTTGCTTGGACTATTTTGTTGCTCGGCACATTCTGCTGATCGCTCAATTTTATCAATTGCTCCTCACAATATATATCATTCTATATATCGGGTATACACAAGAACATTCCCATATAGATTGTAGATACTTGTAATTTAATTTTTTTATGTACAAATTTTTAATAATTTTTTATATGATATAACATTAAAACTTGAGAGACTAATATAAATTTTCTTACATACACCATCCATTATTTTAGAAGAATTAAGAATCTTTAAAAATTTAATGCACTATTCAAAAGAATTATTCAATTTCTCAATTATTTATTGATAACAAAATTATTCTTCTTATTTATAGGTTTATATACTTTTCTTTAATTTACATAAAATAAGTAATATAACTACTAAAGCATATAATAGTATCAAAATTCTATCAAGAAAAATATAATAAAAAAGAAAAATAAATAAATATTCCATAACTTTGATTAAAATTTAAATAATATAGAACAAACTAATATCAAAAACACATATCTGCTTTGAGAAATTTGACATCCTTTATTTTCTTTTATGAATTTGCAAGCATCAAGAGTTGACTCGAGGTGAGCATTTGGTCAATTTGATTTTTAAATTGAATTAGAGCAAACAAATCATTTAAAAAAAATGTTAAAAACTGAATCAAATTGAATCGGGTGTGAGGTTGAATCTAATTGAGCGGAACTAATTATATTTAGTTCGGTTTGATTGATTTTAGGTATTTGTTAATGATTTCAGATTTTTGGCTTCATAAAAAGTGAATCAAATCAACAGATTTTGCTTTTTCTTTTAAAACCAAAACTAAACTGTATGTTAAAAAACAAACCAAATTGCTTGGATTCAATTGATTTTAACGGAAATATCTCAGCCCTAAGACCACCAAATAGTTATAACTCAAACGCAATGATAAGTCTATCATTTAGGTCTATATCTGAATAGGACTTTTTTAGATCTCCCAAAGGCCCAAGCCTAACGCATTATAAGCCAAGCCCATGTTAAGGCCCAACTGGATATGTCCTGGTAAAGCTCCATCCATGGTTTGCAACTTTGCATCTTGGAAATAGTAGGGGAAAAAGAAAAAATTGTGCCATTAAATATTTTTGGGTTAATTATAAATACGAGAAAATTTTCTATTTTGGTGTCTCAACGGAAAACTTTTGTAATCAATTATTTAAACTCCAGAAACATTTTCAATCGGGTGTCTCTGATTGACGTGGCAAGTTGGAAATACAAATAGGACTCACACGTAGTATTGAGCTGGATTTTCAAACTCAAACACATTAAAACCAAGAGCAAATCAATAATTTCATGGTTCAAATTGAATCAAACCCGAAGTGAATGAAACCAAGGTATATAATCATCTTTTACGGTTTCAAGAGAGGACCAACACCAATACAGTTAGAGAGAGGATGGCTATGGCAGCATTGCAAAGTTTTTAGAGAGAGAAGTTTCTTAGAATTTAATGGTCGCTCCCTACTCCAATGCCAACGTTCAAATCCAACACAGTCGAGTAAAGAAAGAAAAGAAAAGAGAATTCAAGGCGCGATTAACGCCAGCTAGCTTCTTTTAGTTACTACCACGGCTGCCTCAATATACCCACCATCAAAACCAGAAGAGAAAGCTGAATGTCAGTGTGCAAATTTGTAGTTAGAGAGAAAATATAGAGAATTATAAGGAAATTCGATTGCACCTCTTTCTTTTTTTCTATAAGAGAATTTCTAGAGTTATTAATAATAAGTATTCAGAAAGAGAAGTACCCATTTGATAATCTGGATTTCAAAGACAAGCGAAACACAGATAGTG